CTGTATACAAAACCTAGAGATTTTAGAACCAACGTCTTCCTTATAAACTTTCTTCGTCATATATTAACAAAAACTTTAACAGAAACTGATGCAATTTTGACATTTAGCATCGAGACAACAAGTCTCATATGAGTTTCTCTCTTGTCTCATATGAGTTTCTTTATTGATGGTTACAAATTCCAGTGCTATTGTAGTAGATGGAAGTCGGACTTGTTTATGCCTTCATTCTTCCATTTTACATACATTCTCTTTATGATACTTGCAAGAATTTTGGATAAATTGGTTGAGAGTAAAACTATTTCAACCTTCATTACTAAAACATGACCCATATAACCATTGTCATACCTTAATTCTATATATTGAATATGTATACTATTTCAACTTTTATTGTTAGCTTTCTATTAGAATATGTATAAGAATTTTGTTGTGCATGTCTGATTCTATTTTATGTTGTTGATAGACTTTGAAAACTTTGAGTGCTTAATAGAGAGTTTTAAAATTGTATATTAATATACTTATAACTTATTTATAAAGATATAACATCTTTAAGTTAGGTTTTGACTATAAAATATTTTGGTGAACATAATAATAATGAATGGTGAGATCAATAGCATGTTACAATTACACATGTATGATAGTTTAAAAAAGAAAGATTTAAGAATGTCACTCAACATGCATAATTTATCGGACTACTGTTGTTAATAACCCTTTTATCCCATTCTTATTAAAATTATATAATTAGATGGATATCAATGATAACAATGTGGTGGGAGAAGAAATAGAGGACCTTATAGACAATACCGATGATGCAAAACTAGTATGGGATGATTGTCAGCTCGAAGCTTTCATCATCTGTATGGAGGAAGAAGTGAGGGTTGGTAATCAGACTAGCTGAACTTTTAGTCCAACTGGTTGGGAGAATATAATAAAAAGCATGAGAGTCTATACAGGGAAGAAGTATGTACCGAAACAACTTAAGAACAAATTCAACCATGTGAGGGTAGAGTTCAAAGCCTTTGTGAGTTTGTTAGCAGAAATAGGCATGTGATACAATGCTGAGATGGGCATAGTTATAGTTGAAAAAGAAAGATGGCTTAGATTGATGAAGGTTAGTTATTCAAATAAATGTATGTTGATTTTACAAATGTATACTTAACTTAATATTAATAGTACTTTAATAATTTGTAGGTGAATAACCTTTATGGTAAGTTTCGAAAGAAGGGATGCAAACATTTTGACAAGTTCACCACCATATTTGGAGGCACACACGCTACAGGTGCACATGTCCATACTTCGACTAATCCACCCATTATCAACCAAGCCCCCGCACACCATGCAGCCATACATAGCTCATTTGAAATCGATGATTTAGCTGAGTTAGATGATCATGAGATCAGTCCCTCTCCTGAACCTCGTGCTAAGAAACCAAAGAAATAGAGTTTTACCTCCACAATGAAATGAAAAACAATGCTAACATGAAATGTGATCGAATTGAAAATGCCATAAAAGAAGCTTCATCATCTAATATGAAAACAGTCCATGAAGAATGTCAGGTTGAAGTAAATTCTCCGGACAAGACAAAAGGAGATTTTAAATTATGTTGTAGTATTTTGAATCAATTGGAGGACGTTGATATGAAACAATATGCTAAGGTCACCCAGATGTTACGTAATGATGAAGTTTGGAGAGATTTCTTTCTGAATGACCTTCCTGATGATAAGAGGGTTGGTTGGATCATGAATATTTGATTTGGTGTGTTGCTTTTATTATGACTTTGGATGACTGTATTATTAAGTATACTTTATTTGGTATGTTGCTTTTATTTCTTATTTGGTTTTGTTATAACTTTGGACGATTGTAATATTAAGTACACTAGTATTTATGTTATCGGGATTATTGCAATGATAATATCAGTATTTGGATTAGGATGATTTTATTTGCTGTCTTGCTTTTATTTCTTATTTAATATTTGGCTTGGGATAATTGTAATTTATGTCGTTTCTTATATTTTGTATTATACAGATGGATATTAGGATAATAATTGAGTTGTATGATGATGATGAGAATGAATGTGTCATCATAATGACATGTATGTTGGATTATTATATGAAACATTACCATAAACAACCTTGTAGGGATTCACTTTTAAGCGGGGAAACATATATAATAGAGATCTTGAACAGGCATGGAAGTAGATGTTTTGAAAACTTCAGGATGTCCACCCCAGTTTTTTTGAATTTGTGTGGGGAGCTTAGGTCATTAGGGTTGAAAGACTCTAAAGGCGTAAGTGTTTATAAACAAGTTGACATATTCTTGCTTACTTTAGCTCACAATGAAAGGAATCGTGTGGTAGCAGAAAGATTTCAACACTCTACCTATACAATTTCAGAACACTTCCATTCGGTTTTACAAAAAATATGTGATTTAGGGAAAAAGATTATTGTCCCCCAGATTTAACCAATGGTCCTAACCATATAAGGAAGTCAAAAAAGTACTACCCTTTTTTAGAATTGCGTAGGGGCAATTGATAGAACTCATATCCATGTGAATGTGCCTGTGGACCTTAGGAAGGGGGATACCACACAAAATGTAATGGCTGTTTGTGATTTTGATATGATGTTCACGTACGTTGTAGCAAGATGGGAGAGGTTTGCTAATGATTCTAAGATATTGAACGAGACCATTAATAATAAGGATATGCATTTCCCACAGCCTCTAGACAGTAAATGTCATACTTTCTACAATTTTGCAATAGTTATTTTAAATATCATGTTACAATTGTTTATAGTTTGTAAAATGGCAGAAAAATATTATTTGGTGGACTCCGGGAATGCCAATCAACCGGGTTTCTTGGCTCCCTACAGGGGTCAACGGTACCACTTCCAAGAGTACTGTAGAGCTTCTTGGCAACCCCGAGGTAGAGAGGAAATATACAATCACAAGCACTCGTCTTTGCGAAATATCATTGAGCGTTGTTTTGGAATGCTTAAGATGAGATTCCCTATCTTGAAGCAAATGCCCCCAAATAAGTTTGAAGCTCAGGTTGCTATTGTTTTAGCCTGCTGCAGATTTCATAACTTTATAAGAAAGGAGGCGCAAGTAAATACAATATTTGATGATGCAACTTTATAAGAAAGGAGGCGCAAGTAAATGCAATATTTGATGATGCAACTATGGAGGCGATGATAGATGAAATATTTGAAAATGATAATGATGATGTTCAGGTTAATGTGTCGCAGTCTCGCTCGCGATCAATGGATATTTTCCGTGATCATATTGCTAATAATATATGGAATACAATTCACCACCCTTGAAATTGCATTTAGATGTTTATCATGTTTGGATAATTGTAATAACTACTTTATTTTAACTATTTGTTAGTATTTGGATAACTGTAATAACTACTTCATTTTAACTATTTGTTAGAATTTGGATAACCATAATACTTACTTTATTTTAACTCTCTTTTATGATTTCGATAAATATAATAACTTTTGGTAACTATATTTTAACCTTTTTTTATTATTTTATTTTATTTTTATTTTATGATTTGGATAACTGTAATAACTTGTATATGCAGTCATGTATGAGATACAGAGTGACGGGCCACCTTATGCATGTGGAAGGGGTCGAATGAATCTTTATACGGCTGAAACTTCAAAAAATTATGGACGTTCATTCTATAGATGTCCAGTTTAGGGAGTATACAATTTTCTTTGTATTAATAATTTGTTATACATATATCTTATTGTCACAGGGACATTATAATGTTATTGCTCATGTTATTGTTGTTGGTTATTATGGCTGTTAATAAATGATGTAATATATTAGTTCAATTTTACTTCATGAACTTTATTGCGCCTGTTGACAAATGATGTAATATTTATGAAACTCATGTCTGTAATATCTTCAAACTCATGTAATGTGTAATATGTTAAAAGTTTATTTTAGTTCGATATTGAAACAATGTCTTCTACAATTGTCAAAACAATATACAACATTCATAAGTTTTACAATTTAGAATATATTTTATTGGTTTTTATAGATTAGTTAATAAACTAACATAAACAAATATATATATATATATATATATATATATATATATATATATATATATATAAAAAGTTATATCAATTGTATATTAAAATTATACAATAATTAAATCAATTGTATATTAAAATTATACAATAATTAAATTTTACTTTATATTTAATAAATTATAAATAATGTATTGTTGAAAACATTATTTAAAAAACACTATTTACCAAACATATTTCATATTTTTATTTTACTGATTTTGATTATACTTTCATTCTGTCAAACATGTTTTGTTCTCATATTTCTTGAAACGAAATACCTTACCAAACATGTTCTATCATGTTTCTGTTCCAAAATTCTCACTACAAATTTTGGTTGTCAAACATGTTTTGTTTTCGTCTCAGAACAAAATCTAACAAAACACTCATTCTATTCTAGATTAAAATAAAAAACTACAAAACACAACGCATACCAAACGAGCCTAAAAATTCTAAATTCCAATAATACTTCAAACAACTTCCAAACACGTGTGGCACGTGTTCCCACACACAAAAATAATAGACAAATAAAATAAAAATACCCAAAAACCAAAAATCCTGACGTCACAGGTAGTATCCAAGCTAAGGTTAGGCTGTGTTGGTGTTTGACAGTGTTTATGTTGGTGGATTTCTTTTGGTTGGGCAATTCAAGTGAAGAAGTTGAAATATGTGGCAGTCATGTGGCTATTTTGAAATTGCTGGAAAAAAAAAAAAAAAAAAAAAAATCCTCACCCTTTTTCCACCTGCCCCGTTTTTAACCATATTTGTATTTTATAAAAATAATCAAAAGGAAATGCGTGTAAGTACATGATAAAGGATAAGATTTTGATAATGAAAGTCTGCCTATTTAGACTATTTTAGTATCTTTAGATACCGTTATTAAAGTATTATACAGTACAAGCGGAGTATTTTTGGTCGCGGGGCGGGCGGGTACCCGCATGAACCGGGTATTTTGCCACCCCACTCCAAAGTCCTGCATAAAACCCTAGCCTGTCCTGAAGGAGAAATAGCAGAAAAAACAAACTAGACCCAATTAAGTGAACAGGTTCACTCTCTTCTCTTCTCTTCTCTTCTCTGTCGGTTTCTGGAGAACCTTTGAGGGTTTCAATCATCAGGTAAAGTTTCTTCATAAATTCTTTCTTGAATTGTATACCGGACGTTTGTATATTTAGTTTGCACATTCACGTAGCTCCAAACCTATACACACATATATATGTATGTGTGTATATGTATATATAAGTTTGAGGGGTCAAACCGTCTCTGACCCACTCCAGCATCACCTCATTCCCATGCCAGTTCTAAGAAGAACAGTTCTGATCAATAATCCCCAACTTGCTGTCCAATGCAGCATCATTTACATATTGAATGCTAAAACGTTTGTTTGAAACCAAATGCTAAATATTCCATAGAGAAAGAAACCAAAATAATAATAAAAAAAGCAATGCCAAGCAAAGACATTGCAGAGTTTACCGTCCAGACCGGTAAGATTGCTCAATGTTTTAATCCATGGTTTCATGTAAACCAAGTACTGTGAAAATAATTTCGAACCCGAAATCAAGTGGGAAAGAATCCTCTTTGACAACCCGTTCTATGTTTTTTAAAATGGAAGACAGAGGATTGTCAAGAGATTATTAGTAGTAGTTGAAGCAAACAATTCTAATCAAGTTTACTGGTTGGTCAGATATTTGAAACTTGACATTTTTAATGAAGATGACTGCCTAGTCCAATTCTAACAATTCTGAAGATTACTGTTCAGTCACATTGATTATAATCAATGTTCTAGTTTCTGTATTGTTCTGTGATTTTCTGAGACTGCTGTTGGATCATCGAAGTATGAAATAAGGCTACAAATTAGGGTTTTGACAACAGGTTTGTATTTAGTATCCGTATTTTCAGAAATCAACAATTTTCTCATAGGATTGAGTATTTCGGATTTAACTTTTGCTGGAAATCAATTTGTATTTATAAAATTTTATCATAAACTTGGTTGGAAATTGATTACAGTTGATAATATTTTTGTTTGGGCTTTTTCTCCATAAAAGCACAAGCTGCTAAACTGAACCAATCTAATCCGTCCTCCTACGGTTCGGAATGGTTCGATTTAGGTGGTTTGAGTGGTTTGCTATAGTTCCAATTTATTAAATCTCTTGAGATCAGATTGGTTCCAATTTATCTTGAAACCTGTCTAATTTGAACCCTGTTAATTTATCAGGGTCAATAATTTTCGGTTAATACTGTAGTCTTCTGTGATGTGAAGCTAAACGTTATTGCTGGGGTTTCACTCTAGGTATTTGCAGCGTAAATGACTGCCACTGCACTTCGAAAGAAAACGGGCACAAAGCCACAAAAATTGCCCTCTAAAAAGAGGCAAAAGAATGATTCTTTCTCTTCTAAACACATGGAAAAAGATGATATTTTCACCCATTCGGATAGCACAGATGAAGAAGTAAAAGAACATGGAGGATTTGATGGTGAAAGAGAACTAGGAGTCGATTCAGGTTCTGAAATGTCTTCTGATGGGGATGACCCCTTTACTGATGATTTTCTCCAAGGAAGTGACGATGGAGGTACTGTGTTGTTTTGAATATAGGTTTTTTACATTTTTGTTTTTGTCAACTCTCTTTTGTTTAGGGTTTTGGTTTATTACGCTTTTATCCACAGAGAAAGGCTCCGATGTGGATTCAGATTCAGGTTTATCTGATATTGAGGAGAAGTCAAGAGCTATTGATGAAGAAAAGGCAAAGGAAGAAGAGGAAGCAGAGGCTGAATTGCAGCTCAACATCAAAGAAGAAGCTGATGAATTCAGATTGCCAACCAAGGAGGTTAGATTCTCTTTTAGAATTTTTTTCGTTTTAAAGTTAATTTCATTGATTTTGCTATTGTTCATCAGATAGAAACATCTATTTTCATGTTTAATTTTGGTTTCTCTCAACAATAACTTAGGAGCTTGAAGAAGAGGCACACAGACCCCCGGATCTCCCAAATCTCCAGCGGAGGATAAAAGAGAGTAAGTTATATATGTGCATTTAAGTTTTCAATTTTTATTTTTTTTAAAATTTTATTTTTTCCATTTTCTAATGAAATTTTCTTAGTTATTAATGTTTTATTGAAATTTAGTATCCCTCTTTGATTTCAGTTGTTCGGGTGCTTTCAAATTTTAAGTCTTTGAGGCAAGAGGGGGCGACACGAAAGAATTACATGGAACGGCTTCAGATGGATTTAGGTTCATACTATGGATATAATGAATTCCTAATTGGGGTTTTGTTGGAGGTAATTTCCAGGTTCTATTTATTCATCCATACAACATTATTTTTTATCCTTTATTCCTTGCTTATGAGGATTTTGTCTCCCAATTTGCATTTTGTACAGATGTTTCCAGTTGTTGAACTTATGGAACTCATTGAAGCTTTTGAAAAACCTCGGCCTATATGTCTTCGAACGAACACCTTAAAGGTGAGATAAGACTTCTGCATTACCATATTTTTGACTTGTGACTTTATTGTTACTATCCTACTGATAAATTTTCTTATATGGCTGTAAAATTAGACACGACGACGGGATTTGGCTGGTGTTTTGTTGAACAGAGGGGTCAACTTGGATCCATTAAGCAAGTGGTCGAAAGTAAGAGTTACTTTATGGCTGTATTTTTTCCTCTTATCATTTCTCCTATATTATCAAGCATTTATTTATTATTTTTAAAATTTGAAATTTTCAGGTTGGACTAGTTGTGTATGACTCGCAAGTTCCAATTGGTGCCACTCCTGAATATATGGCTGGTTATTACATGGTATCTTGGCATGCTAGTGTGGTAGCCTGTTGCATTTTCCATTTTAAGCTATTATTTGTACTCACATTTGTGTTTGTTCACAGCTGCAAAGTGCAAGCTCTTTTTTACCCGTGATGGCCCTTGCTCCTCAGGAGAAAGAACAGATTGTTGATATGGCGTAAGTAATTGTACTTCGTTCAATAGAAATATCTACTTGCTATTCCTCTTCACAAGTGGTCGGATATTTATTCCAGAAGGGCTTATTCGATTTAATCATACCACGTAATCCTTTAAAGGGCGTTGGGATTCTACTACTGGCAGAAATTTATAATTTTATATAAGCTGTCTTATGGTTGAAGAGTGTTCTTCCCGCTAATTTTATCTAAGCTGTCTTAGCTCTTCCTCTGGGATTCTACTACTGGCAGGGCTTTATAATTTTATCTAAGCTGTCTTATGGTTGAAGAGTGTTCTTCCTGCTGTATCTACTAGCCATTGCACAGATCTTATGTTAAAATTTGTATTGTACTCTGTCTCACACACTCATAGGCATTCAAGCATTCAAAGAGCATAATTTGATTAAATACTGTAGAATTATGTCTCTAAGGCATTTATCTATTTATCACTAAATGTACAGAGATCACTGCATCTTCTTATGTTTATTCTCTTGTTTGATTATGATTTATACTTATTGCAGGGCTGATCCTGGTGGTAAAACTACTTATATTGCTGCTCTTATGAAAAACAGTGGTACGTAATAATTACTGGTGGATTTTTTGTCTCCCTCTCTCTCTCTCTCTCTATATATATATATATATAACTTGCATTCGTCTTTTCTCTAGCCCAATCACATAGTTGATTGACAATTTTTTTTTTTTTTTTTTTGGTTTTAAAAAGTTAAACATGTGTTGGAAAGATTGTTTTATATATTTTTATGTATGTTATTTAACTATTTTTTAGGTGCTTTCTTTCTTTCTCTCTTTTTTTTTGGTATCTAGTTGACAAATACTAGAATTAAGTTTTTACCTGACTATGTATAGCTTTTGTTTAGGACTAAAAAAGTTGTCATCTTTCATGCTTGATACTACCATTTTGACTTGAAGATTTTGATTAATCAGTTTGAGCATGTTAAATTAACTTGAGTTGCGACTTGGGATGGAATCTAGCCCCACCCTGCACCCTGCCTCTCTGTCTTTGGGCATCACAATTAGCTAAGGGAATATGTGCTGACTGCTGAGTTTATTGGCTTTACCTTTTTTTTATTGCATGTGCTTAAAGTCATAATTTACATAATCTTCTATGTAAGTAGACTCATATTGAAGAAAGTCTTCAGTGTGCCAGTGATAACATGTCATGTGGTAACACCAACCAAATTATATCTTGTGATATAAGAAAAAATGGTTCTATTTTAGTAGGTCTTATCACTGTGTTAGCATTTAACTTGTCGGTTATACAATGCCATTGGTATCACTGGTGTGATAAAGTGTTTTTCCTATTGTTGCAACTGTGAGCCATCAATATAATGCCATGGATCAATTCAATTGCTGAGCCCCAAATTTTATTTGTTGAAGAATATAGATATTAAAGTTGTTAACAACCATCTACTCCAAACGCAACATGGTATTAGAGCTAAAGGTCACGAGTTCAAACTTCACCCTGACAATTAAAATTGAAAACATCTGTTGGACCAAAAGAAGGCCACACGTGAGGGGGCGTGTTAGACAATATAAATATTAAAGTTACACCTTCTCTAACAGCTTAAGCTTTTGGAGTAGATGGTTATTTGCGGTATTCACTTCTTTAGTTATATTAGTTGTGTACTATATGTTTTATACTTTTATGTCTATTTTTTTTTTTCTTTCTTTCTGTCTTCTAAAATTTTGTGCATTAGCTCTATTAAGAATTTCACTGTCATCATGGACATATGCTTATCTACTAAATGTTGTTATCTATGTATTGATTTATTTTATTTTATTTGTCAAGTCTTTATAGAAGATCCATACATGTTTCTCCCCCTATTACATTAATGCAATCCTTTCCAGGTACAATTTTTGCAAATGAGATGAAGGAGCCGAGACTCAAGTCACTAACTGCAAATTTACATCGGATGGGGGTGACGAACACAATAGTTTGCAACTATGACGGAAGAGAGGTTAGTATCTTGGTTTATTGCACTTAATACTTAGAAATAATGCTTACCATTCAAAAAATACTTGTCTAATGCTTATGTTTTTAAATTTCTTTTACCATGATGCTTGCATTTATAAATTGGAATTCAGTTGGTCTTTCTCTTTACTATTCTGAGGTACCCATTGAGTAATTTTACATCCATACATGCACATGCACACAAATTGGGGGTAGTCCTTTGCCTCCTTTTTGTACTTGGTAATTCTATAAGACTTTCCTTAATTCCGGTCAACTTGTCTAATGTTTTTAATTACCTTTTCTCTTTCGCCAACTCCAGCTACCCAAAGTCTTGGGTCACAACACAGCTGATAGGGTCTTACTGGATGCACCTTGCAGTGGTACTGGGGTGAGTGATCGAAGGTGATGTCAATCTTTGTACTCACTTTGGGCGCTGCTTTGAAATCAAATGAGTTTTAATTACTTTGCAGGTTATATCTAAAGACGAGTCTGTCAAAACCTCGAAAAGTTCTGATGATATACAGAATTGTTCTCGTTTGCAAAAGGTACATCTTCATTTGACGATGTGAAACTCCTTAGTTACATTAGTCTATTTGGATACTAGGAAAAAACAGTTGATGATTCTTTTGTGAATGAACCTGATATTGCAATAACTTTCCCCACTCCAGACTTTGTTTGGAATTGTTCTTCTTTTTCTTTTTGAATGCATGTTGGGCCTCTTCTGCTAGATTTGATATGCAAGAATTGAATGTAGTAGGAACGGGAAAAGTATGGAAAGGAATATAAATGATGTGGAGATGTAACTGTCAGTCCCATTTTTTTTTTTGGGTTAGGGACATGGAATGATGTAGGAATGTTCTATTTCATTATTTCCCTCTTAATTGGTTTGCTAATTAATTAGGCTGGTTCAAATACTAAAATAGAAAGACCTTTAAACAGTATTTCTAGAAAATACTCGTGTCAATAACATTTAAATCAAATTAATATGACATTTAACAGTTATTTGTGGATGCTATTATTGTCCGAACTTTGAAAAATAAAATAAAATAAAAAATAAAACGATAGGCCAAAATTACTATAATTTTATTTAAAAAATATAATGATTGGAAATTTTTTCCATATAAAACAAAATTTATTATAAGAATATTTTAATAAAAAATTTGATCTTACAACAAAAACATAGAGTATATATTTATATAAATGATATAATTTAGACAAACACTTTCAGACATCTCCCTTGTATGAGAAATAAAATTAATTAATACTGATATAATAACAAAAACAGCTAAGTGGTTTGCCTGTCATGGTTGTGGGTGGTTTTATTAGATCTATTTGAGGTAGAGAGTGACCAGAGTTGTGCTAGTGATCAGTGGTTTTAGGTAGTTGTACGTATTTAGGATTTGGATGAGGCTTGATAAGTGTTGTGATAGATAAATTAGAAAGAAAAAAATAAGAAAAAAGAGGATAAGAGATTGCTTTGTGTCCTGTGTGAAGCTTCTCATTGTTGGTCATGGTGATGCCCACCAATTTTTTTTTGTTGCAAATGTTTGTTACTGAGACTGGTCTTGGATTGCATTTGTCTGGGTTGGTTTCTTTTTTTTTTTTTTTTTTTTTTTTTTTTTTTTTTTTTACATTCTCTAATGGTATGCTCTTTCCTGAATTTATGGAGTAATTTTCATTCTAACTTTTTGTGGAATGGTCATCCCAACTTTATTCTGGCTTTACTAGATATTGGGAAGTGTCTAGAGAGCTAAAATGGGAATTCCATTCTATTTCATTCCACCATAACGAACGTGGCCTCAAGGGGTATTGAGGGGCAGCCAGTGAGAAAAAAAAGAAAGAAGGAAGAAGAGGACAATCTATTGGACTAATAGTAATGAGGAATTGTACCCACTTGAGAAACCAAGGATGAGTCTATAGTAAATTCACTCTTTCAATCTTTGAAGCCATAAAATTTATCATTGTACATTTCTGAAAAAAGCACAAGCCCATCCTGATTAGGAGGAATAGAATTGTCATTTTCAAACTCAAATTTTCTCGGCTTACCCCTACGCTTCAAGTGAAAGAATTGCAATTCCATAAAGAGACATTTTAATAGGCGATTATGGGGTCTCCAAAGAGAAATGACTTTTGATAGAAAAGAATGGGAAGAGAGAATTCATGTGGCTGACCCCATTCAAATGGGATTAAGGCAAGGATGATGATGATTTCTTAGGGATTGTTGACTTATATGGAAATTTGTACATGTAGTGAATCTTTAGTAAGAACTCACAAAAAACCTTGGTTTCTCTAATTTGCTCAATGTGGATTCAATGGGATTTTTCTCCAGGGAATTTAGCAGTTTTAAGATGTCGTCTTAACTCTAGCTTCAAATGATCAAATTGTCCATGTTTTGGTTAGCAAACATATGTATGCAATTAAATTTAATTGGGAACATAAACAAAACCGGACTCCTGCTTGAAAGGTGACATTTGGAATTCCCCTGCAAGCTTTTCCTTTGCTAGAATCTCCTTGGCGAAGGGGCCAGTTACTGAAATTTTTACAAGTTGATGAATATGGGACTTGATGCTGATCCAGAAAGAAAGCACGAGGTGAGGAAATAGAAGAAGAAGTGAGATTTAAAGAAACGGGTGAGGAGACTGACAAATGGGGTGAGAAAAGAGAGTAAATAGGTAGATTGGACAGACAGAGAGGGGTAAAGAGAAATGAGAACAGAAATAGGGGAGAATAAGACCAAAGAGAGAAATCAGAAGGAGCAATAATATTATTCTCCTTTGGCCTCTCCTTTCCTAGGCTTTTTAGGATTGCTGTTGATAGATATGCCTTGGTTTCCAACTTGTTATCGGCTTGATAGTGGTAGGATAACATGGGATGTGCAATTTCGGTGTCATTTCCAAGATTGGGAGTTGGATGATGTTTACGGATTTCTGAACTTATTGTATAGTCAGGAGCTGGATGGCAGAGGCCCTGACTCCTTTCTTAGGGTACCCTCTCCTAAGGGGAGATTTGAGGTCTATTGTTCTATTGCCTTTCTGACTTCTATGGGTCTGATTTCCCTTAGAAGACGGTTTGGCGCTCGAAGGCTCCTCTTAGAGTGGCCTTTTTTGTCTAGACTGCGGTTTGGGGCAAGATTTTGACAATGCTGAGAAGGAGAAGAGGTTATTGTCAATTGGTATTGCTTGTGTAAGAGGGATGGAGAGTTTGTGGATCACCTTCTTTTGCCTTACTCCGTGACTCATAACTGATGGAGCCTTATTTATGGTTTGTTCAGCGTCTACTGGGCTGTGCCTCGACCTTCGAGAGGTTTGATTGACCCTTGGAGAGGCTGTTTTGTGGGAGCCAACGCCCGTGATTTTTGGAGGGTGGCACCCTTTTGTGTTTGGAAGGAGCATAATAGAAAATCTTTCGATGGGGAGGAATCTTCCATTGGGGCTATGAAATATCATATTATTAGTTCTCTTTTTAGTTGGGGGATGCGGAGAAATTGTATATCTACAAAGGAGTTTGCTTATTTGGGCTCCTTGAGTCCTTAGGACCTTTTTCTTTGGCTTCGGCATTTGTGTAGCTTTCGGGATTCGTTTCCCTGTTGAACGCTTTCTATTTTATTCTTACTTATAAAAAATATATATATATATTATTCTCCAAAAAGTGATAAAATCAATTACATGAAATCCTTTTATAGGCAAACCCTAAAAGAATAAAATAAAATGAAACCACCAATAAATGCTAAAAAATATTCCGTGAACACTCGAATGAAATATACTAAAATATACCTAAAAAGATGTCCCTGTGCCTACGACTGATATAGGTGTGAAACACCTCACGATCTCATCAATTCTATCCGGCTAAAAAGAACTCCCCTCTGGAGAGTGATTGAAAATACTGCTCTAAGAGATCAGGATTAATGCGACGAAAGGCATCAACTGTCTTATTACAAGGAATAAAGTGTGCCATTTTAGAAAACCTATCCACGACAACTAAGGATAGGATTATGTCCTCTCGCAGTAGAACAAAATCCATACTAACATCTTTCCATGGTGTGTGTGGCACAAGTAGAGAAGTGTATAAATCAGTGTTCCATTTCTTAGTTTTTGCTAATTGACAAGTGTGACACTAGGACATTACTCTGGAAACATCTTTCTTTAAGGACGGCCAATAAAAATCTATCATTAACTAAGGCGATAGTCTTATCCCTACTAAAATGACCAGCAAGTCCACCTCCATGTAATCACAAACTAGGAATATTATGCCAAAATCTGGACAAGTAGCATAATCACCTTTTACTCTCTCAAGTCCTATCACATTAGCATTCATAGCCTGAAGGACAGCTACGACTCGATTGAGGCTATGAGTGCTATCATTGATCCGCCTATAAGATACAGCTGATGTGTAACGAATATAGACGTGTAAATATGACAATTGAGAAACATCAATTTTAAATTTATAAAGTCACTACACAACTATATTTGAGTATAGCGAGTGGGGATTGAACACAGGGACTATAGGCTTTGATTGAACTTAATATTAATGAGCGTGAGATTGAAAAGATGATGATTGGTTTAATTAAACTAATGATGAAATTTAACTATGTAGAAATTGAAAATGAGATTATATGAAAAGGAAATTGGAGTAAGATATTGGTGAGAGGGACTTAAGGCATGGATTTCACCACTAAACTCATGTAATTGCAGCAAATGCCTTCAATCAATGGGGAAACTAAGTTGTAATGAAAATGTGGCTATAAGCACACATCAATGATCAAGTAAATACTACAATTGCAATGAATAAGTATGAATTATCAAATTCAAGTGTGAATTGTCTACCTAACTACAACTAATCTAAGATGTAGAACAACTCATCAAGACTAAGCATAATCCATCAAATTAAGAACAATTATATCCAATAAGAACAATGCATGGCCATCATTGGGCACAATTACAAAAAGTACTCAATGTAGAGATCAATCAACAATCAACAATCAACTACATATAAGACAACATATAGTCAATTGAAAGATTAATTGAAAGAATTATCAATACAAATCTTGGTACAACCAAGTTTGAATCCACAAGACCAAGCAACAATATATACAACTTATAATTCCCCAAAATTGAAAGATAAGTGATACAATTACACAAGCTTAGGGCTCATCCAAGCCCTAAGTGAAGATCTTGCCGGACATAAAGGTGATGGTCGTCATCTTCATGGCTTCAATTCCCATCTCTATACTTAGCTTCATCTTCTCCTTCAACCTTGAGATCCAACCCTACAGAGAGAAAGTGTAGAGAAAACCCCCAAAATTGTAGATCCAAAATTTCTCTAACTCTCAACCAGCCTCCTCCAAAGAGTCTTCCAAAATCCTTTTATAGGTGACTTTTAAGAGCCAAAAATGAGTCAGACCCCGTACACTCAAGTCAGGAAATCTCACACACCATGGCTCTCTTCAATTGGAACCCGAAAAGCGAACTTTAACATGAATCTGCCCGATGCACAATCGATCGTGAGATCAATCGTAGGATCGATCATGTAACTGCTTTCGATCGTACATTCTGCTGACTTTTGGTGCTTTTCTTATTCACTGCAGTTTGGTTGACTTCAAAAAGACTTTAATGTACTGGAATGAATTCTTTTTCGATATAATAACCTGAAAACGACAATAAGGCAAATAAGTACTAAACAATGAATAAAGATAGGACTAAAGTACTAACAATCATAAGAATAAAGGTCGAAATGTGCATATTTCGGCACTCATCAACAGGTACGACTCAACTGAAGGACAAGAAGTCCCCCTGCATGTAATCCTTTCACGCTTTCAAATCATATCAATGATCCACATTGTAAGATCCAGCTGATTCCCTCAATCGAGTCGTAGTTGTCCTTTAGGCTCTGAATGCTGATCTGATAGGATTTGAGAATGTAATAGGCATTTATGCTACTCGTCCAGATTTTGACATAATATTCCTAGTCTAGGATTATATGCAAGAGGACTTGCTGGTCATTTTGGCAGGGATAAGACTTCTCCTTAGTTGAAGATAGATTTTAAGACATCTGAAGAAAGATGTTACCCGAGTGGTGTCCTAGTGTCGTACTTGTCAGTTAACGAAAGCTAAGAAATGCAACATTGATTTATGCACTTCTCTTCCTGTACCAGAGACATCATGGAAATACGCTAGTATGGATTTTGTCCTTGGTTTGCCTAAGACCACAAGAGGGCACAATTCTATTTTTGTTGTGATGGACAGATTTTCTAAAATGGCACATTTTATTCCTTGTAGCAAAAGTTGATGCCTCTCACGTGGCTAAGTTGTTTCTCAAGGAAATTGTTCGGCTTCGTGAGTGTCCGACTTTCATTATGCCCGATAGAGATGTCAAGTTTGTTAGCACTTTTGGAAGACACTCTGGATAATTATTGGGACGAACTTGAAATTCTCCTCAGCTTTCATCCTCAAATTGATGGTCAAATTGAGGTGGTTAATTGAAGTTTGGGGGGCTTGCTTAGATGCCAAGTGGGAGAGCGCCCAGGTACATGGGATTTGTTGTTGCTAATTGCAGAATTTGCTTATAATAATTTGGTCAATCTGTCCGCTAGGAAAAGCCTTTTTAAGTTTGTCACTGGATTTTCCCCTTGTCAGCCTATTGACCTTATTCCCTGCCACCATATTCCCGTCTCTCTGAGTTTGCTAATTCCTTTGCTCAAACATATTCATGATTCACATGTTGATATTCGACAAAAAATTGCTATGGGTAATGAAAATTATAAACATGATGCAAATAATCATTGTAGGAATCAGGATTTCAATGAAGGAGATTATGTTTTAGTTCGTGTACACGCCCAGAACGTTACACCAAAAACTCCTTCAAGAAATTACATGCCCGAGCCATATCCGTCGTAAGTTGGGACCCAATGCAACGTAATTGACTCGCCGTCAGATATGAGTATTAGTCCAATTTTTAATGTGGAGGATTTATAACCTTACCGAGGCACCTTTTGAGTCTCCTCCTTTTCCTTCTGGTTTGCCTACAGTTAGACCTCCTTTTGTCATCAGCTCCAGTGTCTCCTCTTCCAACAGTCCAAGTACAGTCTATTGATTAGGTCGCTGATATCCTTGATAGTCAGATCCTTGGTTCGCCACAGGTCGATTCAAGGCGATTCCTCGTTTGATGGAGAGGTAGTCCAGACTAAGATTCTGCATGGATTACAGAGGATGACTTTTGCCGCATCGATCGTGATCTTTTAGAGCAGAATTTTCACACCCATTCTTCGCAGGCGAGTTATTTTCAACCAGGGAGAATTGATGAAGATCGTGAGAAGCCGTAGGGACATTTTGTTTAGTATTTTTTTTTAGTGTTTATTGATACTTTCATTTTTATTTATTTTCTTTTAGGGTTTGCCTATAAAAGGCTTTCATGTGACACATCTTGATTAGTTTATGGAGAATAATATTATTGCTTCTTCTTATCTCTCTCTGGTCTTCTTCTTCCCTCCATTTCTGTTCTTGCTTATCTTAACCATTCCCTCTGTTGAATCTACCTATTCACTCTCTTTTCTGACTCCTTTGTCTATCTCCTCACCCCTTTCTTCACTTTTCTTTTTCCTTAACATTTGTTGTACCATGAATCAAGGCAAGACTATCCAAATCTATGGATCTCCCCAGCGGGAAGATAATGAAGAGAGGAAGACACAGGAGGCGTGACACGTCTCATCTCTTCTATTTTCTCACCTCCCGCTTTCTTTCTGGTTAAGCATCATGCGAAAAAGTAGAAGTGGAGAATAATTGTCGCATAGGGTTCATGGTAAAAGTTTGAGGTGGAAACACTTGTGAGCTCATCTATCTTTCCTCTTAAACATCATGAGTAGATATTGGCTTTTGTTAGAGTTCTGCAAAATTAGTCTGTGAAGAATACTTATTTGTGGGAGAAATTGAAGGCATATTATCCGCTTTTCAATGCAGAATAATTTCTTTTAGCTAATTTTACTATTCCATTGGGTATTATTATGTGGGGCAATTTCAAGCAAATTTGGGTTTCTTTGCAGGAACTGATACTCGCAGCTATTGACATGGTGGATGCCAATTCAAAATCGGGAGGATACATTGTCTATTCAACATGCTCCATCATGATTCTTGAGGTTTGTGTTTGAGGACACCCTTTTAGATTTCTAGGAATGCCTTCTATTTCTTTTTTCTTTCTATTTTTTTCCCCTTCTAAATTTAAATCTTTCAGAATGAAGCAGTCATAGACTATGCTCTAAGGAAGAGGGATGTAAAACTGGTGCCGTGTGGACTCGACTTTGGGCATCCAGGGTATTGCTGATTTCTTATTTTGTGAAGTCATGAGCTAACACCAACAGGTCTGTGGCCTAGCGGTACAATGCTCCTACTTCCCAAAGGGAGGTCAGGAGTTCAAACCTCAGTGGAGGTAGTGTGTGTGAGTCCCAACTAGGAAAAAAAAAAAAAAAAGTCATGAGCTAACCTTATACATGTCTGTATTTACTGATGCTTCTCTTTACCAGTTTCATTCGCTTTAGGGAGCGACGGTTTCACCCATCTTTAGAAAAAACAAGACGTTTCTATCCCCATGTTCACAACATGGATGGTTTTTTTGTGGCGAAGGTATATCTTATCATTTTTCATTTTTCCAAATTCTGATACGTTGCCTTCGTTTTTATTTTGCATATTTCTTTTCTTTTCTTTTTTTTTCAAGGCTTGTATGTATATACGAGATTCTGCATTGCTCATATCACGCAGATGAATTTCCTGATTGACACTCTACAAACCAGATGTATTTATATTGGATTATATGCTTCTAGAACTTGCTAAAAAAATTCAAATCATCATGGTCTGTGTTAACAAATGGATACTACTTATGTTGGCCTGAATGGGCTTGACATCCCTTCAGAGGAACGAACTTTGGGTGGCCTTTGCTCCCAAAGTTTTGTTCTTAATGGGAAATGCAAATTCGTATCAATCCACCCATAGCTTTGGTGATTGGATTCTTGGGTCAGGGACAAGTTACTTGTGTAGAACAAATCACGTCCTTGACCAAACTGATTTTGGTTTTCTTGCTTGGGCAAATTCGTCAAATTGGTTTGCTTATAAAGCTCGTAGTCTGAATAATCTTACGAAACATTAGGCCCTGTAATATGCCACTAGTATTTTGAGTTGCATCCTTTTGTTTTGCATCTTGCAGTTGAAGAAAATGAGCAACTCCAGGCCAACTTCAACTGCTTCTGAACCATCAGAAACAGTGAATCAAGGTCTTGGGCCGATTGATAACAGCAGCGCGAAGAATACTGAAGGAGTATTTCAACGTCAATCAAGGCAAGAAGCCACTACCGAAGAAAATGAGAGCTTGGCGAATAGTTTTCCTAAAAAAAGGAAATTTGAATTCCCATCCACCACTATAAAGAGGCAGAAAATGAAAGGCCCTTCTAAATTTGAGATCTTGAAAACCAGGTACAATTCTTTTCTCAACTGCGTTTGCATTATAGCATCCATAAATTACAATGTCAGTTTGTTAAATGTTTGATCTGGGTCTGTGGAAGAAAGAAAGTATGAACGCCCCCCTCATTAAACGCGGGAGAAATCTCAAATACTCAAAATTTTGGAAGAAAATTACTGTTGTTTTGGTACGATTAAGAGCCTTATTTTTTTTTTTTTTAAATCTTTTGGAATTCCTACAGAGAATATAAAACACAAGTTTTGAGGGAAGAGAAGAAAAAAGCTTGGAGGGGAAAGAAGGGTGGTGCATGGAAAGGTGGAATGGCCAAATGACCAATTGGCATGAATCACTTGTTGGTTAGCCACTAATTGCTATGGAGAGACATCTTTTGGTGTTCTGTTGATCATTACCTATTTTATCCCCTGAAATGGGGATTCACCAGAGAGCCGAATATACGAGCGTATGCACTGCAATTAGCAGAATACTGAGGAATGATTTTAGTTGAGACAAGTGCAACAATTCATGGCAATATGTCCGTCTCTCTCGTATAACATGCCTGTAAAGATGAGATTTCAAGAGAATCCCCAAACGGATCACAGAGTCCAAAAACTTCTGTTTTCTTCTGTTTTTATTTTTATGTTTGTTCAAGTCCATTACCTGAAGTTTGTACGGTTATTAACTTATTATTGTTGTAAAGGCAGGTCTTTGACCATGCTTTCTATTGACCCAACACAAGTACCATGTTTCACTCCATAAAGTATAGTCATTTGTTTTTGGGGTTATATTTAATTTAAGTAAACTGTATATTCGGTTGAACTTTCTCAATTTCGGTTTCTTCAATTTCTTTTCCAAATTTTTGATTTTCTTGTACAATTGTAAAAAGTAAAAATGGCATTTGGAAATCTTTTACTTGTTCAGGTTCTCCTTTGAATCATGCAATGGATGCTATTTAGAATTGGAAAGCTGAATACTTGATCTTAAAGTCATTGCAACTTGATCTTAACATTAGAGATGTTATTTGAGCCGATGCGCACATGGTGGGTGTGGTGTGGTCCCGTGTTCATGGACCCGGCCAATAACAGGCTATCAGACAAGCACTATCAGCTTTAGTTTTTTTTTTTTACTTGCCATGTTATTGGTTAGAACCATGTAATAATTTTTCATCTATTGACTTGGCCTGAACAGCCAATTTCGGCTCAAATAGCCTCATCAGAACCCCCAAAAGGATTCATGTAACTGTTGGAGCAATAATTCAACATTGCTGGACAAAACCAGTATTATCATGAACCAAATACACAATACACCAATCATTCATTTTCTGATATCATTTGTCACCTCTCATAGTGGCTCAAGGTTTTTAATCTGCACCAAGACTATGCATTCCCATCAGAGTATTGGAATGAACTTGGTCTTAGACTCTTCGCTACATTTCAAGAAGTTGGGGAGACCTTTTGTGCATGACTGAAAGAAAAAAAAGAGAGAACATCCCAGCAATGCTCAAGTTTATATTCACATTAATGCAGTGCTGAACTAATTGAAAATTGTGATCTTTGAATGAAAATTGATCGTCCATAAATTCAAATTCAGACAGAATGACAACGGAAACCAACCACGTGTTCGGTTAGTCGTGTTTTTGGAGACACTACTGCAGCTTGTTCCAAAAATGTTACTGAGGTGGTGTTTGTTCAGGGTATGGAGCCTAAAGATTGTCAACAAAAAAGGTTGTAGGCAACATTGATGATTGGCAACTTGTTAATAGAAAAGGGAAAAAGTGTAGTTGGGTGTTCGGAAGATTGAAACTACTATTTTGCATCAAGTAGAGATGTTAACCGTCCAAATCAAGTTGCGAAAACAGACACCTTAAAAGTAGTAGAAACTCGACTGTAACAATGACGGCCATGTAGAAGATGAAATTGATCCGAATGAAATCAGACATGGCAGCAAATGGTGATCGGAACGAAGGGCCTACGGGTTCAACACCTCAACCAACTCATGTCCCCAAACAAATTTGAGTCGATTGCAGACCTGAATGAGGACAACTGTGAAGACAAATTCTATTTCCCCAGAAGTTAATAGTAATTTCAAGGTTAGTTCCAGCAAAAGGCTGCAAACAATAATCAATAATACATGTCCCCCAACATTGCGTGCGTGTACTTCCAACTTCCGAAAAGTGACATGCATCCATTCTATACCCAAGTCTAATGAAATGCCAGATGAATGCAAATGAAGAACTGATTAAAAGCCTGACCTCGCATTTCATAACAATTCTCTTTCATACTACTGTCTGGTAATAAGAAACACGAACAGTGAGTAATCATACCAACAAACACAAAGGCTTCCACTGGCATGTAGATAAATTCTGTAAATAACTTATAGCGTGGATCATGGTCCATAGCATATACAATAGGCAGAGATTAATCCAGACACATATTCGTATATCTACATAAAACCGACTCAACCTGTTAATGGTAACCAATTGGAGCTGGCGCCTCGCTTAATTTCTTCCCCTGGAAATGAACATCCTGCACAAGAAACGCGTTCGTCATACTCAAGGACAAAATCTATATAATAGTATTGGCATCATGTTAAATAATATATATTATAGCATTGGCATGATGGTAAACCCAAAGCCAGTTCTACTCCTAACAGTAAGTATAATATTAATCGGCATAGAATCTACAGTTTTCTTCCCCAAAGAATGCAGTTCTAAATAACAGAGGAAACAGAAGAACATTCTGGCATAGAGCATATTGGGAGATTCAGGACAGATGAAAATAAGGAAAGAATGATTGTATTAACTCATTTGATCTAATTAACCGTTCTTGACACTCAACACCAGAATTTGGCTAATTAAATATTCTAGTCCTTCCACATAAAGAAAACTTAGCTACCAATTTTTTACACTAATCTATCAGTTGACATGTACGAAGTGCGATTCCAAGTTTTCAACTGAAATAAACACGTGCTTTACGGTTCTCATAATATTTTATAGCAGATGCATATAAACTGACCTCAAACAGACTCCAGTTGTTTAATCACAAAGTAATTTTTTGAAAAGGAGGGATAAATTCCTTAATCTTAGATTTTTATATGGTCGTTGCTTTCATAGGATACAACAGAACATCTTTTAGACAAATCTTTTTCATTTACTTTTTCCCATTAGAATGAATTTCTTGGTATTGAATTAATATACTCTTGAAGCCTCTCTTCCCTTTGCCCCCCTCCTTTATTTAAAAAAATAATTATTATCATTTCTCATGGATCCGTTGCTGATTAAGAATCGGTCAGTTCCAACTCCCATGTTCATCCAACTAATAATGACACACAAGGTAACTGGATATCAAATGACAAATTTAAGTCTTGAGTACTTTTGTCAGGGAAAACTGAAAGAAACACACATAAAGACGATGAAGCTGAAAAGAGAAAAAGGGGAGAGGGGAAGCCAATAAAAGCAAAGAAATTACTTACCGAAAAAAATAAATAAATAAAAGTAAAGAAATGAACAAGGCTAGTGATACTCACAGAAGCAAAATGGTTAACATCTCGGTGGTGAGCTTCATCAGCACGGATGACAGTTATAACATCCTTCAGGGTTGCATCTTTTGGCAGTCTCCAATAGTCTATAGCAATAGCAGGAGCCGGTACATTTTCAATTGCACCACTATCAATATCCTTCAGATACTCTGTATATGAATGTATAGCCTCCTCCTCCAAGTATCCAACAATTCTATGTGCCACTTTGGGAGAGATCAGATAAAGCCCAAAGAAGGCATTAAAAAAGACTCCCTGCACAGTGAGAACCAGTAGCCTCTCATACCATTTGGGATTCACAAGCTCCACCATAGTCATCAGGTGCATCCTCTCATTCTCTGCTTCTTCAAGCAATGCTTTGACCCAACCACCACTGTGCTCGAACCTGCGTAGAGACCTTAGGTGCAGCAGCATCCCTCCCACCATACCTGGAACAGCTGCCACAGTTTCCAGCATCATTGCACGACACCCATACCGTCTCTGCAACACAATTGCAGGAACTTGTAACAAAAACAGTAGTAGCAAAATGGAACTGAAAACAACTAATAACTAGCATAGTCCATATACAACATAGCTCCGAAGATGGTATGAAGATGCACCAGTTAGAAGTGGAAGGGTTGTTTGCCTAGAAGTTAAGCAAGAAAGAGGCAAACCTAAACTTGCATGGGATGTAGTAATTAAAAATGATTATAAAAAATTAAATATTAGAGGAGACATGGTTTATAATAGGAAAGAATGAATGCAGAGAATTCATGCGGCCAACCCTATCCATATGGGACAAAGGCAAGGATGATGATGATGATGAGCTAACATAGTCAATGGAGATGCTCTCAGCAAAAATCTTGTTAGAAGTCCCATGAAATCCAGAGAAGGATAAACACATACTGCAACAAAAGAGAATGAATATATGGTACATGTAAAGAAATCTGCCCTATAAAATTAGTGGTACACACCTTTACTTATGGTTACTATGGGTTCAATAAAATTCTAATTTAAGAATAAAAATCATCAAATACCTTTTCTAACTACAACCTCGCCACTTGAATAAAATGTCTGTGAGACAGGCACATTCAGACAAATCACACACTTATCCCAATTATACTTGACATTTTCAATTCACACACAAGCCGCCTAAATGCCAGATAGGCTTCATGAATGAAAGGTAAAAGCCTTCGTGATGAGAGACATTTCTCACAGGAGAATCCCAGTCACAAATGTACACCGATATTCAGATAAATGATATAGATATAATAATCAGATAAATGATATAGATATTTATATTTATATTAGAAGAAATGAATTCCTTCTATGTCATATCTTTCCATTCTACAAAATTCATTTTAAATTCTACCATTCTATAGTAGTACAATTCATTTTCTAAGTAAGCAAGTCTCTATCCAAGAAAAAATTGAACATGAGATGGAATGATGTCCCTCCTGGTTTCTTTCACCTGCTGTAACAGAATTTACAGAACAATCTCAAACTTTATTTGTGACACAACATTATGAATTTCCCATCAAGGTTATGGGCAGAGTAAAAAATTTTGAATTCTACGTTTCAAATGCGTCTTTCTCTAAAAGCTTCTGGCAACACTTCTGGATCCCTTATTCTTTTGGACAAAACCAGATGGCAAGCTAGTTATATTTTAGATATAGCTGATCTTAAGGCACAAACTTCAAGCAACAATACTATTCAAGCTTTCCCTTCACATAAAGATATTGTTGCTCATTTCTAGACATAGTAATCAATTGATGAAATGAAGAAAAAGAACTCAACTCAACAAAATCTTTCCCAACTATTTGGGTCAGCTAAATGATACCCGTTTCACAATTCTACTCTATTGAAGGCCATGAGCTATCATATCTTTCCTAACTATCCAAAAACCGATGTTAGCGTCAATATTCCCCTTCCCGTAGCTCTACCCTCAATAAGGGTCACGTAACTCTTCCTCACAAGTTGTCCCAGCACATGGCCAAATCATTTTTATCAATTTTCTCTCATTTATCTCCAATTGGTGCTACTTTAATCATCTCAATAATTTTTATTTATTTTTTGAATATTGGAAATGGGCATACACCCAAAATATTGCCCTATCATAGGGTTTGAACACTCAACCTCCCCTTTGGGGAAGAGAGATCATACCATCTAGGCTAAATTTAATTTTTCTCACCATCCCACACATATATCTCATCATTCAGATTTCTATCACACTCATTTAATGAAGGTTCCCGAAAGAGAAACCATCAAAATAGATATAATTCTATCCTCGAGGAACCAAAAGCATACAAATGGCACAAATGATCTACCAGAAGAGCAAACTAGGTATCAACCCCTCAAGACGATCCCCGATGAGGCTCCTTCAAGAACTTTGGTAGTCAACGACCACAGAGAGGATACAGACACTCTACTATGCCAAGACATATCAAAAGAAGAGCTCTTCTTGTCAAAGAATTCTAGCATTCCCCTTCTAGCAATATAATCCAAAATGTAGCCAGAATACACAAGACCACAATACTCTTCCCCTGCTGCTCTCCAAATCCCCCAAAAGAATATCTTTGTACAAAAATGTAACCCAAATTATGCATGCTAAAATGAAGAAAAAGAACAAAGGCAGCAAAGAGATAAATAACCTGAAAAAATATGTCTGTTGGAATTCTAAGGATTTTCACTGTCCTGTAAGCAAATTTATCCAGAAATGTCTTTGGTACATGGTGCTTGCTCAGGTCTATCGACAAGTCTGCTTGATAAGTCTCCCATGGCTGCAAAAAAGATAATTTAAACATAAAATTGAAAACTAAAGATATTATGTAGAATGTTTTTAAAGTATTTAACAGGTAATAAGCAGAGGTGCAAAACACATCCTAAGATCTTTTTGACTAACCATTTTTAACAAAAGGTTCAAGTTATAAAAAAAAATTCTAAGCCACCTCATCTCTTCATTAATAGAAATCATATTTTTTAATATTTGAAAAATAAGTTCAAAGTTAAAATTCTCTGCTGCCATCCCATAACGTTCAACTATGTAACCATAGGCAGAAAAACTAGGGAATATTCTGCATTAAGTCTAACCATCATCATTTTCATAGTATCATTCTCTAAGCTACATCACATATTTTATTTTGCCAAAAAACATCATAGGAATATTAGTGAAGGGTGCAAGAAGAGTAACCCAATGCCTTAATCATTACATATAATGAAAAAATGATGAAGATCCTACCAATATGAACATAAATATTTTGTTCAGAACTGAAATAGAACTGTGAATGTAAATTATTCAACAATGTCGGTGCACTAAATATTACAATCACTTAATGGCAAGCAATTGATATTATGTTGATGTCAGCACATGTTAACAACAATTGTGGAATTTATATTCAAATCTCTCCAACCACAATTCATGTGGAAACTGAATTTCAGGCATTTTACACACTTATTTTTTGGAAATGATCAAGTAATTTTTACAAGACCTCAATAAAAGGGGTTAGAGATTGTAAAATTTCTTGTATAACAGACTATGAAAATGAAAACCCCAAATTTATCAACACGCCATCCAATAAATAAGCAGTGAGCTCTTAAAGGCATCTTGGTGCAGCACAAAGCTATTGAAGACCACTCTTCAAACTTTCAAGTTGCACTATATGCATCAGTCAGTGCCAAAAGGTTCCAATCTCAACTTATTAATCTTACATGCAAATCAAGCAGAAACAATGTCCCAAAATAATATACCAACAACAAGATGCAATTGAGCCGATAAAGTATAATAGCAATGATAAAAATAAAAATTAAAAAACAGGACATTGTTTATAGGAAAGCAATGTTCTTTCTCTTTTCTAAAAATAACAAACACAATAATTCCTTCATTTACATATACAAGTAGTGATCTCTACTAATGCCTATCCACCAAAATAAATAAATAAACTTGTTAGGAATTTTCTCATCTTCACCATATCAATTTCTGAAAAATCATTTATAAAACTTTGTTGCAGGTACAATGGTACATGGTGATGATATTATTTATATATATATATATATAGAGAGAGAGAGAGAGGAGAAGGGAGGGGGGGGGGGGGGGGGGGGGGGAGCATTCGAAGCTCATGCATGATGATAATGACAATGATGTTATATAACGAGAGAGAGAGAGAGAGAGAGAGAGGTTGAGTATCATTTTAGGTTAAGAATGAGAAAGTATTCTGGAATCTCAATCTGTAACAATCACATAGAGCAGGTTAGCATGGATGAACTCTGAAAACGAAAACAGGACAACAGGAAAGCAGTACAAGTTTTCAAGTTTAACTGAACTCAACATTTTAAAATATATAAAACCAATAAAAAAGAATTCGAAGTACATGTACATTGCTTCCGAGGATCAGAACTGTTCATCAGGAGAAAAAATATTTGTAGGATCTTTGTTACAAATAAAAATAATAACTCTTTTTCGAACTTCAAAATAACATACAGAGAAAATAAAATGGATAACAACTTAACATGGGCTTCATGGCTCTAATCTGATCATTGCTGAATTACTTGTCAGAGGGAGGGAAGGAGGGAGGGGGAGAGAGAGAGAGAGGTTAACAGATTTCGTGACTACCACTTTAACCATAATTGGCTATTGTTGTATTACTCTTTTTTTAAAAATAAAAAATAAAGTGCCTATCGATGTTCCAGGTAATGGAATTTGAATAAATGCTACTCCACCACCCTAAAAAAATAAAATTAATGAGATGGTCCTAAGGCTGAATTGTGGAAGGTCTTTTTAGCAGTATAAGCCTCAGAAGAGATGAATAAAATAATATATTTTAAAACAAGCATCTTAAATTAAAAGTGAGCCTATTGATGCAAATGGGTGTGAGCATCACTTTAGATTAAGACTAGAAAAAGGTTCATTATGCTGAATCTGCAGCAATCACTTAGAGAACGTGAAAGTGGATGAATAAAAAGAATGTAGGCATGAGTCGTAGGACGGTAGTTCAAGTTTCCAATTTGAAGAAATATACAGCAAAATACATCTTTCAGTTAGAAAGTTATGCAAAGTACAAATATGTCACTTTCAAGGATCAGAATTTTTTATCAATACATAACCCATACCTATAATCTTTGTTCCAAGAGACAGCAAGAGAGAGAGGCTAAAAAGAATGTTCATGGCTGCACTCAGACCAGCATATATTGACCATGTCTTCATGAAACGATGTGTAAAAAGCCATTACCATCCCTAACTATTAGCAGCCATCCAACTATTTTTTATTCATTCCGACCATTAGTGCATCAAATTGATTGATGAACATATTTTTAAGCCAATTTCAAATTCTGACTATCACTATGCACCTTCAATTTCCAAGCTTACACACAGTCCCACATCTCACAGCTGTTATCTTTAAGAAGCACAAAAAAATTGGTCGGTGGCAATGATCGACACTAATTGATACACTTTTAGAGACTTGTTGTCATATAGCAGAAAACTGCCTATCAACCCACAACTAAACTCAAGAACCAGATGGCACTGTTGGCCAAATCCTTGCGACCCACAACCTTAAGCCAAATTCAAATCCAGATCATGTGCCAAAATCAGTTAAGGACGGAATCTAGTATACAGCTATGGGTTGGGAAGTTGGAAGGCAATATTTACTATTGGGTTTTTTATTTTCCCCAACTTAACAAGAAAATTAAGGGAAACAATTTGTAGTATACATCAAAATTCAGTCAGCTAATTAGAAACATAAAAATTTGAATCCAGGCTGCCAAGTGTTGGTCATAAATTCCACAACAAGTGGAATTCAGGTTGTTTCTAATTTGACATTGGAGATACAATTTACTGTATAAATAGAAAGTCAGTTAGCAAATTAGAATTGTAAAAGATAAATCCGGCCTGCACAGAGTCGGAAACAAATTCTGCAATGCAGATGAAACTCGGGCAAAAATGAGGCCAGCAAATTTTGTCACGTTGAAAACCATTTCAAGGACTTCACATGATGAAATCAAGTAGGTAGATAAAAAATATATATATACAAAAATCCAAAGACCAAATTATCAATCACATATTGCTCCTCTAGTAAGAAGTACACTCTAGAAGATTCACAGTCAAATCACCAATTCGCCTTACAGTAGACTTCACGGACCAATATCTGAGATCTTAAAGAATCAATCATCAAGTGAAGATGGAGATCGGCAAATACATATATATGTATGTGCGTGGGGCAGAGATAATCAAAGTAATTCACAAAAATGGCCACATATAAGTTCACCAAACTACCTCCACATGAACATTAATTCGCCAACACACGCACACTAATTATTGAAAATGCCCAAATTTCAACTCAAGAATCAAACACTCCACAACTACATAAAAATGCGTGCATATAGTATTTATAAACACACACACTAGAGAGAGAATTTATATATATGGATATGGATCAAATAATACTGAAAACATTCAACCACGCAGAACAAATCAAATCCATGTATATTACCATAAAACAATTCCAAGGCCACTCAGTACCGTCCTCCCTCGTGATCTTCGGCCGCGAAATGCCCCAATAGCTCGAAGCCAACACGGAACCGTCTCCCTTCTTCTTCTCCTCCTCCACCGGAGCCTCCTTACGGTCCTTCTCCGCCACAGGCGTCCTCTCCGCGGCCGTGCTCATCGGCCGCCTCCACTGGAAACCACCAAAGAAATCCAAACCACCACCAGGACCCCTCACTTCGCCGGTTACATCGACAGGTCTGACAATAGTCGCCGCCGAAGTGAAACGGTTACAACTCCGGCCGTTGATCAGAGCTCTGGTCAGAGACTTCGCCAACAATTGATTCATCTTCTTTGTTGATCGCAATTCCACAGAATAGTCTACTTTCTGATGACTTATGAGAGAGGTTTAAAAAGCAATATTTGATTCTGTAAAAAGCAGTAAATATAGAGAAAGAGAGAAATAGAGAGTGTGTGTGTGTGCGGTTGTTATGTTAAGGGACAGACACAGAAGAGGAAGTTACGGGAGAGAGGTACTATTCAGTGCATCGCAACCAACTGTTTTAGTTTACTTCTGGTTATCAACTAATCCCATTAATTATGACTATAACCTATAAAGAAGAAGTTAAGAACCACAGTGGAGTCTAGAATAAAGTAAATGGTACATTTTTTAAATTTTTTTATAGGAGCAATATGTGATCTGATCCTTGGATTATTGCACATATTTTTTTAGCTACCTACTTGATTTTATCATGTGAAATTAGGTGGCACTCATCATATATGTCGTGAGTAATTAATTTAATTTAGAGAATTGGTCCAAACAGCATCATCAGTATATTATTATTTGATCATTATTTTTATTCTTTTTTAAAAAAAATTAATCAATCGGCCCAAGAATCTCTTCCCTTCTTTCACTTTGTTCCGAAAAATAATTAGGACCAATTTTGTCACGTATCACTTGTATATTATTTTTATCATTTTTTTTTTTTTCCTTCGTGAACTGATTAGTAATAACAACTTTTACTCTTTCAAGTGTATATATCATCTTTGTACTTTGACTATGAATTTTCTTTTAATTGGTTTGTTCATCATTAATATTTCTTCTTTAAAAATTTGACTCTTTATTTATTTTTTTAATTTTTTAAGAAAATATAATCTTAAAAGAGTTGTTACAAAAAGTAGAATCTTAGAAACTCTTGCAAAGGAAATTACAAAGACCTGGAAAATTTTGTTACAAAATAAAAGAATGAAAAACACATGAAAAATCTCCATTAAAGTATTACTACTACGTAGTATTTATTTTAAAATGGATAGCCATTAGAATAGATTTTGTATACTTTAAAAAAAAACAAAAAAATCAACATGTTTAAATATTTAAACAAAAATTTTTGCATTACACAGTGTTCAGAGTGTAGAATGGAAGCTTGAAAGTTTTAGAATGATAGAATCGATATGAAAATTATTTCAAAATAAGATTTATTGTTATTTAAAAGAAGAAAAAAAAAAATAGTACTCCTTAATTTTCTTTTTTCTCTTTCTTAATAGGTTGTTGCGTTGTTGATGGTCTTGAACGGTGGAGATTTATGATGGAGAGGATGTGAGGTAGTATAATAGGGTGGGTTGCGAAGTAAGCGAATGAGGCTTCTTTGGAAGCGTGGTGGTCCGCTTGACTAATGAGATGACTAATTTGCCCTCGACTTTTGTGAGATTTACGGATCATGCCTTACTTGTTTTCCAAGTTTACTGGAAAGGTAACGGTATGTTTGGTATATTGGATCATAACGTACCTCGTTTCTTGAGGTTACACGTGTGCTGCATCTTAATGGGCTGTGAGGATCTGGAAGGTGGGCATGGTGAGATTAACAACACAGAATTAAATATGAATATGACATCACTCTTTAGCACGTGATTTTAGATGAGATAAAATAATATAAACTTTTGTTTTCTTTTATCATCTGAGTATTTAATTTCCCCAAAGCTTGACTCGCAAAAGTCCAGATCCATCGTCCATCCGTGAAATGTTTGTGTTTGTATATATATATATACACTTACATTATGCTAGAGGCGGCTTAGGCCGTCACAAAAAGTAAAACGTCCCTTTTTATTTTATTTTATTTTATTTTTAATTTTATTATTCATTCCAAAATAATTATTTCGTCAAACTATTGCCACTGAGCCTTTCCTTGTCAAATTTTAGGATTAGATTAGATATAAAAAAGCAGAACTACATTTGCCACCTTTTTAATTGATGTTACATATATAATTTCGGTAAACTATTGTCACTTAGCCTCTCCTTGTCAAATTTCTGGATTAGATTAAAAATAAAAAATAAAAATAAAAAAATACTGAGAGTAAAATTCCTAACCCATTTGGGGAGGCCAAGTTCTATTGCCCATTTAAAGGGAACTACATTGAATGAAGTCAGAAACATATGCTAACCCAAATAAATAAATAATAAGTTAGAAAGCCATTGAAGAAAGAAAATGATTTTTAGAGAGATCATATATGAGGTTTCTATAAGTCCTACATAATCTTGTTTTCCCTTCTTTTCTTTCTCTGATTTTCCTTCTTTGTTATGGGTTCTTTTTTTTTCTTTCTTTTTTTTCTTTTTTTTTTTTTATTGGATTCGCTCTAATTAATCTATCTTCTTTATTTCAAGTTGTTTTGGTATTTACAATGATTTTAATGATTTTCGTTTAATGTTTTAATGGCGATCTAAATGTTAGTTGAAGAGGAAGGTAGAGAAGGTGAGATAGATCATAGAGCCGAGGGTAAAGAGAAACAATAAAATAAGAGAGAAAAAAGAGTATTTAACCTTGGTAAGAACACTAATTGAGCATGGATTTTCAAGCAGATTAGATAGTCCTCTATCAGTATATATAGGAGAGAAAAAATAGAAGAATTTCTTTTAAGGGAAGACATATTTAGGATTGTTTAGGGTTATTTGAGTATAATTTTAGTGCCCAAATATGAGCTCCATTTTTTAAATATTTCTAATTTATTTTTCTTACTTTGAAATTATAATAGCGTCGACATAAAATGTTATATTTGAATATTTATTCCCTATACTTCCTCTATCCCATATTAAATGTCTTTTTTGGGAATCAAAACTTTTTTAAGATGACATGTAATTATTGTATTGTCCTCTTTGAAAATTATTAAGTTACCCTTTCAAGTTTGAATATATATATATAAAATCAAGTTTAAAATTTACCTGCTTTGTTTGTAGCTTTGAAAATAAAAAAATTATACAAAAATACTTAGTTTAGTTTTCTGAAAATTATTTTTTGAAAATTCAATTATAAAAATTTCTGTTTTCAAATACTGTCTTTTATAATTTTCTAAAAACAAGATCCCGAATGTGTTTGCGTTGTTCGTTGTGCATTGGTGTTCACAATTATTGTTTCAGTATGTTTAGTGTTGGGCTAGATGCAATGACGGACCTCGAAAATTTTGTGAAGTGGGGCGACTTTTTAATTTGTGAGACAAACTTATATATTGGATTTATTTTTGTAATTTCAATAAAGTTTTCTTCATAAAATTTTTAAAATATAAAATATAAAATGCAAAAAAAATAATTCAGTAGGGTAAATTGTAATTTTAGTAGGAGTATTTTCATAAATTCTGAAAAATTTAAAGTATAAAATATATAAAAATAATAAATAAAAATAATAATAATAATAATTTAATGAGGACAAAATGTAATTTTAGTGAGAATATTTTTATAAAGTCTAAAAAAATTGAGGTCCAAAATAAAAATATAAAAAATCCAATGAGCCCCACTGGTCCAATGCCAGGCGGTGTGTCACAAATTGAGTGTGATTATTTGAAGGCTTTTACTAGCTGGCTAAAGTAGATAAAGTTTGTCAATCACGCTGTTAATAATTTAGCTGACGTGTATGTGATTAGTCTAATCATACCGTATGAGATTCGCTACAGATGAATATATAATTGGTACATAGGACGTTGACTTGTATCGTAAAATGTTATTTGTACTATGAAATCGGGATGAGTAGTCATAAATTTATTTGATAATTATAAATTTAAAGAACGAATAGTTACAAAATTTTCACGTCATATAAAAAAAAGAAAGAAAAAAAAAATTGTAGTGTTAAATTTCTTCTTTAAGAAATTTAATTTATCCCACCAATTACATGGAGACGACCTTGAGAGATAGAAACTTGAGCGTTGATGGGCCACTTTAATTGACTCGGGAGTCATGATATAATCTACATTGACAAATATAAAATGACACATGTAAAATTATGTCACCTTGACTAATCTAATACGGGTAATTGTTTTTTTAGAAAGAAAAAAAAAAACAAGAAATGAAAGTACACATCACTAATAGCCCATAATGCATGTGTAAAGTCCCATCATCACCACGTTTTGGGCTTCCAAACAAATGTGTAAATAGCTGTGATTCTAAGGGCACCAAAATGGAGAGACAGATTTGCACACAAAATAATATTGTCTTACCCATTTTGAATCTCGCAAATAAGCCAAGGATTTCAAGGTTCTGACAATGCTTTTAGCCTTTTTATTTAGAAAGGCGATAAAGTAGCATTAAAGTACAATTCCTGCGTACTTGATCAAACATGTGAATTATAACATATATTTAGTATGTAAATATAAATGTAAACATGCAAAACAAAAAATTAACCATGGTTAATGTACGGCCTTTTTTTTTTTTTTTTTTTCCCTCGATAATTGGAGTTGTTCGGGATTTTACCCCTACTCATTCATAAGACCCGTGCAAATCGACTCCTCCACACGAATCAGGAAAAGCTCAAAATATATTTACGGCCGTGATCCTTAAGGAATTGGTCGCACTCAGGAGAATTCAAACCTTAGACTTAATACTTCGTAATGCTCTAAATTTGTGTCATATTAAACCCTTGTACTATAATTTTGTCAAACAAGTACCTAAACTTGGTAAAGATTCATCAAATGACCTAATTCCTATTAGTGTTCCCTAAAATGAAAATGAGTCGATCGAGTTTAGTAAAGAATAAAATCTAAAACTTATATAAGGTAATGGTCACTCCACCTATTGAGTTAACCTTTTGAATTGTATACCCGTGTCTCAGCAACTGCATTTGATTGAGAGGTGTGCTACAACAATTTTTTGAATTTAAGGACCAAAATACCCTTTCAAGAAGAAGGTTACTCGTGGCACTTGTTAATGATCATTAAACCCATATGTTTTTTTAATAACAGCCAAAACCCATCATTTTGACATTCTATTTTTGCGCTCAAATGTATCATTTTTATCTGAATTGCACTCAAATGTATGCAATTCAACTAAATCACAAGCAGAAAAGACTAAAATTGCTAGTTGTGAAATTATTTTTCCAAATTGCCAACATGATTTACTAATTTTTGTAAATTGTTCGCGTATAGAAGTAGTATTGCAGTGACTCGGGCCAAACCCGATTCCAATCACACTGATATATTGGAGGGACGACTCGATCAAGTGTATAGAGAATCGGTTTGAATCCCTACAGAATCGGCTCATCCTAGTCTCGAACAAGTCATTAAAGAATCAGCTAAATCAACATTTCTGATAATGTGCAAGGTTGATAAAATTTTACATCCGTTACACAGCGTTGACATCATCAAACCATGGTTTTTAAAGGTAAGGGCTGGGATAAATATATTCATCACGGTGAAACAGAGTTGTATTTTAGTCTCGAATTTTATTATTGAAGAATTATATATCTCGACCCATATTTGGTTTGAACATGCACGTGAGAGGTTCCATCCCCGAAAGTCCTTTGCCGAGACATTAAGCATAAATGGAACTACCATCAAACGAACTCAAAACTTCACAACATAACATCAGAGAATCTGCCAACCATTCATTAGAGTTGCATGCTGAGGTAGTTAAAACCAAGAACCGCGTCGGATCCTCGTGAAATTTAGAAGCTGAAACATTGACAAGGTAGAAGAATGTCCCGTCTCCTTCGAGATGCACGGAATCACCACAAGAAGAACTCACAGAACAGATTTCGGAATTCCATCTTTAGAAAACTAAGCATGGCATCAATTCTTTTAAGGTAAACCTCACATGTAAGTTTTGAGAAAATTACTCGTGAAAATCTGGGTGTGTCCCCAAGGACAAATCCTCATTTGAATTCCTAAGTAGGGGCTATGTGAAAAGATATTACAGACTCTTGTGGTCACTAAACAATCTAAAGGACTCCCAACAAATAATGCCTCCAAATACGTAAATCAAAGACCACAGCTACGAACTCCAAGTTAAGCTCATGAGACTTAAGCTTACGAGACCCATACAATACTGGTCGTTTCTCTTGTATCAAAATACATCCCAAACCCTGCAAAGAAGCTACGGAATTTTTCCAGAAAACTAATTTAAACTGGGGAGCAAAGTTTAGCGCAATCACATTGCATTTCTATCATAAAATACATGAATCATTTTATTTGAAATAACAGCTTTTCTGAGGTGTCATTCAACATTTACACTCCTTTTATGGCGGAAACAAACAAAGGGACTGTGTACTTCTTCAGAATCTACTATTGTACACAATCCAAATGAAAATTCTGAGCTAGTATCACATTTAATGAAAAAAGAAACAGAAATTAAAGGAAACAAGTAGAGTATAGAAAAAATACCCTCCATATTTTCTTTTTTTCCTTTTCCCTGGGGGGTGGGGTGGAACGTCACCGAATTAGATGCCTTACTATCAGCTCTTGTCACTGGTAGCAAGGGTCTCATAAAAGAGAATGTACCCATGATCTGTATTACTTGAATACTCCTGAGCAGATCCAAAGAACGTTTGAACCGCAGATTCATCAATAATCTCCACATTCTCATCGTCAAAGAACAACCAGTGATTGTGGCTTTTCACGAGACTGACATAGTGCCCATGGTTGGGCCCACTCCCAACGTGGACAACAACAGCGAATAAGGAGTACTCTAAGTCAGCATCTTCCATGGTGTTGCTTAGTTTCAGCTCCAGTGGGAATACAACACGGTAAGACAGCTTCTTGTACCGACCAAGTTGTTCCATGTACTTAAAACGCTTCAAATGAATAACCAGAATGTGAGGTGGTTTCTTTATCTTCATCCTCTTTTGGGCTTCTTGCAAACTGCATTTGGAGAAACAAACAAATAACTTTGCTAGTTGGTGCTTGAACTGAAAAGGCAATAAGTCAATAAACAAAGGCACCTACCTGCAGCACTTGTCACAGAAGAATTTATCTTCAGCATTCAGAGTTTCTGTGGAACTAAAATTCTTGAGGCAACTCGTAATTGAACTGTTCTGTTCAATATCGAGGCTCAAATCTAAGAACGTCTCATCCCTTGCTGTGACTGTCTCACACCTTAAGCATCTCGTCTCATTAGTAAGTATACCCTGCACTTGTAAATTCATCAAAAGCAATCAAGTTAACAGAAGTAAGCAAACATCACCCAAGAAAACAAATCTCAAAAGTTGCAACATATAGCATCCAAAATAGGAAATGTGTGTACAAATTAGGAGGAAGTTTCCAGGTTATCATGAATCTTAAGCTAATACCATAGCATCCAGCAATAAGGAACCCAGAATGACAGGAAAAGCCATAAAATTTACAACAGATTTACCTGAAAATTTTTGTGAACCCAGGTTACTAATGGATCCTTCTTAACACCGTTGGCCTGGGCATTCTTTGCCCCATTTGCAATCTTTTCAGAAGGTGAAGAAGTTTCTGGCGAACTTTTCACTGCATGGGGCTCTTTCTCCAGTATGTCAACAAGTTCGTTCAACAAGAAGTTCAGAAACTCATGGGCATCCTACACACAATACGATCTCTGAACTGTGAAAATGCATATAAGAGGGATTGAAGAATTGTACAATATATGCATTGCGTTGCACACTCCCTATTGAAGAGGGCCATATAAAGGATGGTAACACTATGTGTGGAAACATGATGAATCCAAAGTTTATGACCATCGTGATGCAGGAGTCTTAGTTTATGCCCTTGTGATGCAGTATTCTTATGCAATAATCATATAGATTTCAATGTACTTCAAAATATATTCCAGTGGCAGTTCCTACAAGCCCGGGTCTCATACACCCAGGAGTCATGGGTTGTGCAAACATGGGACCACCAGCTGTCAGCATTAGTGGTGTCTTCTGCCACCCCAAAGGGAGAGAGGTGCAGGGTTCAAGTCCCGGTTGGGACATGGTATAGAGTAAGACCATAGCCAATCATCCATTTGATTGACCGGAATAGGATAGGATTCTGCACGAATTAATCACCAGGCATAAAGCTGACCAATGGCCATCTGTCAAGGTGTAAAAAAAACTGCTGGACCATAGATTGGCTCAGCCAAACAACAAGTATTATAAAACAATGTGAAGTAGTCAACTACCCAATTCAGAGGAACCAGTCAACTACCCAATTCAGAGGAACCACAGCCTCCTGCTGAGTCACTGAATCATAGAAATGTTGCTGCTATGAGAAGATGAATTCAGAACTGTGTAAACTTAAAAAGCAGATCCAACATTAATAAGTTCAACAACTAGTACTGCAACAGCATCACCAATGAAGCAGTTCTGTGAGAGAAGTGATGGCACTAAATTGCCAGCCTTTTTGTTATAAGAAATGTAAAGAGACACTATAGATGAAGGGAATGCACTCTATACAAGAACCACAAAGAAAAAGGCCTGTATCCATTGGCCATGAAGCATGAACAATAAAAAGCAAATGCCTGATTTACGAGCCTATTTGGTTCAGCTCTCAAAAAACAGTTTTAAAAGAACTCTTAAAATACAATAGGGTTTTTGGGTAAGTGGGGAAAGAAAAAAATAAAATTGTTCTCTGAGATTGCGTTTTTTTAACTCTTTCCAAAAACAATTTTCATAGAACTATCAATTTTTATTTTTATTTAAAAAAAAAAAATTCAAACTACCTTTTTGTTTTTCAGTTCTTTGAAAACATAAAACTGTTTTTAGAAAACAAACCAAACAACACCAATCAGAACAGAATACATCAGGAAGCACCTAACTCTTGCAATCAAATTTAGGTAGTTGAATTTTACCATTCAAAAAAAATTAATAAATAAAATAAATAAATAAAGAAATGAAAAATAGGGAGATGAATTTCGTTATTACTGAAATGGCTATTTTAACCTATAAACTACAATATTTACAAATAGAATTTGGGACCAGGGGTCTCTCTAAAAACTGCTTTACAAAGTAAATGGTTTTAAAAAAAAAAAAAAAACGAGAGTAGAAAATGAGAGGGTTTCCACATGTCATAGTGTCGGTATTGCGTTTTCAAACTTTAAAAATATATTTAGAGAAATAAATCTAGTTAAGTTTCAAGGCAAATCTCAAAGCAAGCACAACATATACGACATTCAAACAAACATATATCCCGTCAAATGCATACCTGATGCATGTAGCCACGGAAAAGCTCATTCTGTTTCTTCACTCTTTGTACAAAGCGTTTTGGAGCAATGACACCTGTTTTCTTCTTCTGTGAACTTATCTGGACAAAAACAACTTAAAAGTCAGTCATGATAAAATCTCGAACCAGTTATAACTAACATAAAGAACAACATCCTCATTTTTTTCTTCCGTAGAGCACTTCAGTCTGCGATTATCCCATGATTTTCCGAGATAGAGTTGAGCCACTCATCAGGACAACCAGCAAGTTCAAATGTAGAAGGGAGAGACCTTATAGCATATGGAGGAGCGGCACAAAAGTGACAGATAGAAAAGCAAAGGATATGAGAAACGAAGAGAGTTTCAAGAGAAGGTTCAGTTCTTGGTGTGAACTCAAAATGCTTATGAACTATAAAGGCTTTATCATGGTATTCTTGCAAGCATGAAGCAATTTGATTAGGTTAAGTTATTCAGGAAAAAAAGAAGAAGATTAGGTTAAGTTTTCCCCGAGAGCAATGGCTGTGGTTTGGTAGCTTTGGTATGCAGGGTGTCTTCGTATTTGACAATGTAAGTTCCCATGTTCACCTCCTTGCAGTTACTCCTATTCAGTCTGGAATTTCCCTTGCCAATTTTCTAATGCAGAGCTAGCAGCCAACCATGCAAATCAATTGCCTCAGTAGGGTATTTTCCACCTTATTTTCCCTCAATTCCAGGTTTCTTACTTGCACCTTGTTAGGTCAATAGGACTTAGATTGGTAAATTTCCTAGAAGAAAACTATAGACTGTAACTTTTGTTTTAATTTCTAGCTTAGATTAGAAATTTCAGAAGTTAGTTGTTACATCCTACACTTGGTTGAAGAAGGAATTCAAGGTAAATAATAGGGTATTTGTGTACTCCTGTAAATGGTAATTTAACACATCGAGGTATTTGTGTAATCCTTTTCTACAAGGGGTAAAAAGGTAATTTTACACATTGATGCACTCACCAAACTAAGATTCATGCATACACGATTAGAGTTTCTAAGTTCTCATGATTTGATTTCATTTGATTCCCTAAATCTTTCAAAATTTGCATAAAAGTATTCTTGGAAACTTCCTACCAGAATTTTCTAAGTATAAAATCAGCAGTAGACTTTGATTGATTAAGCTACCGTTGGAGTTCCGTCAGTCAATCGACCAATTCTTTGATTGATCAAGGCCTGCAGGAACTCAATTTCCTTTTCTGATTAAAACACAACCAACCCTGTTCTCTTTATACTTCTAGTTTGCCTATATACATACCATGATAGGCAGAATGCCATACACCTAGGGTACAATATAGAGAGAGCATCACTGAGTTCTAGAGTGCATTTTATTTTTGTTTTGTGTTCTTCATTCTTAGTTTTGGTGAGTCTTCTTCATTGTCTTGACATCTATCGTTGCACACTACAACTGAAGAATTCAACACAATATTCAATCTATTGCTTAGAGATTGAACTAGATAACTAGTGGCTGAGACTAGAACACTGGTTGAGAAGCTAGATTAATGAGGACCGAAGTCTGTTGACAAGCAGATTGTATGTCTGGAGACTATAGGAGAATTGACAATTGAACATTATTCAATCCATATGTTGCCATAAAATAAAATGTCAGCATTCATTTAAAATAAAAAAATAAAAAAATAAAAAATGAAAAACAAAAAACAAAGTTTTCTTTGGTTACCGATAAGAATAAGAATTAAGAATTTTTTTTAAGTGGTGTGTTATTGATAAAAGAATAAGAATAACATCATTAGCACAGAATCTGCATTCCTTTATGAGAGAACGTAGTTAAGGATGATATCATTCTCTTTTTCTTAACACAATTCATTTCATATTGCTCCAATCCAATCTATGAGTTGAATCATTCAAGTCTTTCAGGAAGTCAATTTCTGCATCTTCTGACCTCCATACTATTTGTAATCAAGTAGACTTCATACAAAATACTCAACCTTTGAATTTTTACACTTGACTGAGCATTGAAACTCAAGCTGCATGAAGTCAATTCAACAATAGTTTCTCACTAGAACCTGATTGCTACCATGTGATTGCACTGCTTTTTGAAAACAACCATATGGGAACACCAGTGCAGTACAAATTTCAATCTTGCTAATGCCGTAATCAAAGGCATTTACATTTTTTCGATTTGCTAAAGACCTTTTATTTTTTTTAAATTCCTTTAAAAACTAGAACTTTTTCACACAAAATAATATAAAAAAAAAAAATCTCATTCTTTTAATGATACGAATCAGCTATTGTTCTTAATATTCTGGTCAATTTAGATGGGTGTATTACATATTATGTCATAGCTTCAATTATTAATTTATATATTTTTGTATTAAGAAGTCATCAGTTGATAATTAATTTAGTCCCTCTAACCCCCTTCTTCTCTCTCTCTCTCTCACTCTCTCTCGGGAAAAAAAATTAGAAGGAAAACATGCAGAGTAGTTCAAATCTAATAGTGCACTAAATATAACATGACTAAGGCAATCTAACCAAAGTAGATGAACTGACAATAATGTAGAATTACTTAAAGATGAAGTCATAAGGGAGCATCTGTGCTTTCAAAGGCAAAGCACCCCATTTCCAACTTATTTTACTACCTGCGTAAATAATTCTGCCAAACATGTAAGGAGATTCTCTTCTGCATCCCCTGGATTTTTGTATTTTGCATAATACTCTAGTAGCTGTTCTCGAAATGGAACACAGAAATAAAGAGCCTGCAAAGCCAAAATTGCGCAATAATATTAGGCAACATATTGAAGGAAAAATTCAGCTTGAAACAACACTGTGACTCTGTATCATTAGCATGTTGAAGTATTTTTCTTGATTATGAAGGCATAAATAATTTCACTTCCACTCGCAAAAAGAAATAAGAATAAGATGGCCCATATTACCTTTAAGATCCAGCCCATATATGTAAACAAGTTGGATCCATTGGAAAATATAAAACAAGCCCATATGCAAAATACATTACTATTGTCAAAACGAAAAGCTCAAACAAAAATGGTCTATATTCCCTGTAACGATCAAACTGAGAAGCACTTATCAAAAAAAAAAAAAAAAGATCCAACTGAGAAGCCCATTTTCAACCAAAAAACAAACCCTAATCTCATTTCAAATCCACCGACCACATTATGCCCTACCTCTCATCTCTCATTTTCTACAACAACCGGCAACGGCTAGCCTCTCACTTTGGCCCTTCAATATTTCATATTCTTTGATGACATCAATCGATGAAAAGTGAAATCAACTGTGAAAGGAGAACGATGCACAACCATCGACGATTTCAAACAATATCAAGGTATGCAGACATATATAGCTATACATCTATAATTCTAAACAAATGATTTGTAGTCTGTATCCATGTACATGAATCTGTTGTGTTTATATGTGGCCAAACAAGTACGAGCCAACTCTGAGCTCGCCGATATTCTGACAAGCCAAACTCGATTGCCCGAACACGAGCTGAGCCTGAGCACCTCCCTGACTATGGTGAGCCCAGCCCGAATATGCCAAAACTCAGCTTGGTTCATTTGCAACCCTATCATCATTGGTTTACTGGAGAACTCAATACACAGCAACAACGGGAAGATGCGGCAATAGAAGCCCCTAGTAGGAGCAGTGTTATGGGATAGAAAGGATGTCACAGTAGAGGTTGGGCAGCACGCAAAATAGAAGAATGGTAAGCAAGGAAGAATAGGGACATTCCAATGTCATTATAGCCCAAAATGAATACAACCTTTTCTTTAGTCCCTTCAAGTGGAGTATGTAACAACAAACAATTAAAAACCAGAGCACATTCTGAGAAAAACAGAGCGCTGGAAGGAAACGGTAGGCTCCTAGTGAATGGGATTTAGCTATGTGATTTATGCAATTTCTGAGAAATAAATGTATGATAGATATTCCTGTTGTTGTTAGCTTTGAACTAACTTGTTTACAAAATTGGCAAATCTAAGACAATACAACTATATTTGACCAAACACTTCCAACTCACATAATAAGGAACCCACAAGAGCCCACTATGCAAAACAGATGATCTCTCGACAATAGCATGCAAAACAATGTCATCAAATGCTACTCTTTAAAAACAAGCAAAGACTCAAAGTTTTTAAAATAATTCTCATTCAATAAAGCAGTAGTTCTGCACTAAAATACATAAAAAAAATTGCCCCCACACACATTTATATTCAGTGGTCTGCTGAGGAACGAACAACTAGAGTCAACCAAAAGGTCTTCTTCTGTTTTTTGAATCACTGTTGTGATCATTAAAGTATTGTTCAGGGTAGTGTCGGGAGATTTGGAAGTCTTGGAACATGACCAGAAAAGGTAAGTAACCTCATTTTTACAGTGAGGATATCTGAAAGGAGATGATGGCTACTTCTCAAAAGAGCAAGCTAACCCACATCATAGTGTTTCTATCTGGAATGCAAACTTGTTATCCCTCCGCCATTACTAATTAACACATTGGTCTAAGACGCTGGGAACTTTAGAAGATATTTCTGCAAGGTATCTTTATGCAAGGAGTAGTAGTAAAGGGACGGTATTTAGTAAACACATTAGAAAACCTTTGTCAAGAGATCTTAATCAAATTAGTTTTTTAAAATAAATAAATAAGAAAGAGATAACAGTTCAGTAGGTCAAAATTTTAAGATGCTCAAGAACACCAATCATTCAGAAAAATATTCCATCACCATGCGCTATGTCCTGATGCTTCAATAAACCCATTAAACATGGCTAAATCTACACTTCATAATTGATAACCACAAGGTGTTAAACTATGCATTGTACGGCAGATTCAAGTGGAACTATTATCACGAAGAAAATATATATATATGTGTGTGTCTATTTAAAAAAGTAGTACGGAGGTTAGAAACTCAATGCCGGTGGGAGTTGTTTCACCTAGTTGGTGCTGTGATAATCTCAAACACCACCAGAAACACTAGGGTTAAATAGTAAAGATAATTGGAATGGCCATTGGCTAATTAGCTGTGGTAGTTAAACTTAGTCATCATTGAATGCGAAGGTTTTTGCAAGCTTTTGGATGGGTATATGATACATAAGTGATATATAAATGTATCTAAACATATATATTTCCAACACATACAACGAAATGGACCAAAACTCAATAAACCTAAAATTCTAGCAATTATGTAGAGTTAAAATTATCAAAATCTAAACAAAACCCACTATTCAGAAGCACACAGTTTGGAGTAGAACCCAGAAAAACATCGATCACAACCACGAATTAGAGCAGCAAATAACCCATAAACAAAAGAAAAACGAAGCCAATCGAATTGAACTGAACCTGCAGGACGCTGTTGCAGTAGCAAGTGTTGCCGAAATTCTCGAGGCCGAAGTAGCGCTCGCCTTCTGGGAACTGGTCTCCGAGAGCTTTCTCGAGCTTCGAACCCGCCGCACCCATGAGACCATCAACCAAATACCAAAACTCCTCTATCTCTCCTCTCTCTCTATATATGTATCTTTCTCTCTCTAACTTCACTCCATCGATTCTCTCTCCTTCACGGCTTCAGATTCAAACAGTTTGCCTCTTGTTTCTATCTCAAATATAGAAAATAGGAAGACGCTTTCTGTGTCCTATTGATTAGGGTTTGTTTTGATGCATTTATGCTCAACAATATAAACTTGTGTGTGTGTGTGTATATAAATGTATATAATATAGAGAGATTGATGAAAGGAAATGAGAACTTTGTTTAGTTTGGGTGAATTTTGATCTCAGGCGCAACTCTACCTTCGTTTTCCTTCAATAGGTTTATGTTGACTCTCTTGTTTCGTATTTTTTTCTATTAGAGGAGTGTTTTCCCAGGTTGGTTTTATCAAATAAACCTACTTTTACTTACCAAAAATAAGTAAATAAAGCAATTTCGAAGAATAAATAAATAAACAAAAAAGTCATTGCTCGGCCAAATAAAATAAAGGCTTGCTTGGTTTAACTGATAAATCAAAAAATTATACAAAAATCTGATTGACTGCACGTGAATACTCTTTTTGAGAAAATAATAATGTGAGCTTCGATCCATCGTCAAATTTTAGCCAAATAATTACAAATAATTGAGTCGCCCAAAATCGCCATAGAGAAGCAGCCTGTATAAACCCTATAAAATGAGCAATTTTGCCTTTTATACGAGAATTACATGTTTCCTCTGCTACAGTTTAATGGCCCAATTTGTTTCCTTAGCTAAAACACCAGATTTTTGGCCCTTCTTTGACATTGTTTTGCAATTGTTTAAAACAAAACAAACTCAGCCAAACATGTTTTGGGCTTGAAATAGATTACTGTAGCAGGCTTACAACAAAAACTGGTAAAACAAAACAGATGACAAACAGCCTCTTAGTTAAAAACAGTATCATCTGCTTAATTTGTCACTCATAATATAGTTTTCTATTTTTAGAGAACTAAAAATAAATAAATAAATTTGTACAAAAATCATGTTTGATAGGTTTTTCTTAAAACTGACATCCCTGTTTTCAAAAAAAAAAAATTCTTTTATAATTATCTGAAAATAACTTTTTGTTTTTTAAGTTCTTAAAAAGGGCTGGATTTTCAAAATATCGTTTTTTAAAGTTCTCTAAAATAAATTTTTATTTTTCAAATTCTTTAGAACTATTTTTAGAATTACAAATCAAGCTGTAAACTTCAGTAAATTCTAACACAATGTGTAACATTAAATTATCCGCAAGACTATCTCATTGGTATCATGGACAAAGCCAATTAAGTATTCTCATACTCTACAATTATTTAAAAAGTATTCTTATACTCCACTCCTTTTTAGAATAATTCTACCGTTTTATTTAGTAAAAAGCTAATAGAATAAATAAGTAGAAAAACGGATTGTAAATATCATACCCTTATTATTTATCATGTTAATAAATTATGCTTTAGAATTAATAATTATAATTATTTTTAGTCTATTAGAAATTAAAAAAAATAAATTTAATAAGAATTTTTAGATAATTAAATTTATTAATTTGATCAATAAACAAATTTATTAACCATTTTTAAGTATTAATTGATAACTCAATGGGACATGCATAAAGAAGTCCACAGGACCACTTGGATAAGAATCAGTTTCAGGTTCTTTTCTTTGCTTTCAAGAGTCATGCAAATATTATTATATTTTTTTGAACGATGGTGATATCGAATTTCTTAAACTACGAGTTCATCACTAACATGTACAGTCCCCCATCAAAATTCATTTTTATTATTAGAATGAGTATATTATCTATCTTGTAAATTGAAATTTTGAATAATATAAGAATTCGTTTTAATCTAATTTTTTTATTTTTTCCTTTGAACAATATGAAAATTTGTGATACCAGACAAACGTCTTTTCATTGATTGAAATCGAATCATTTACAATGGTGTTATTTATGTTATTTTCTTCCCTATTTATTGGTTGTATGATTTTTGGAGTTCTTAGAGTTCAACATATTGTTAACCAAAGTTCCTTCTCATCTCAAAAAAGTTAAAAATAAGACGCAATGTTGATTTTGCACTATCATTGCGTGTGATTCCAAACCTCTTTTACCACATTATATCATATTGACATTTGTTAAAGTTTGAAAAACATTACCCGTTGAGTATACTTTTCAGTATTTATTATTTTAACTTTTGTGGGGGTTAATTTTCGTAACATAATAAAATACATATAAATAGTGATATCATACACAAATCAGTGATCCATATAACATAATAGAATTCGATGTGGATTGAGAGAGGTGGAAGCACAGGCAAACTCGAGAGAGAGAGTGAAGATGACAGTGTAATAGTACACCATTGACTCCCTTCATAAAGGTGTATGGAGTGATATTTCTCTCTCTGCAAGTCAGGTCGAGGGTCAACTCGACAAACCCTAGACTTCAGCCACCAAACCAAGTACCTCTCGGATCCCAGGTAATCCCGAGTCCTACTCCCAACTCAGATCTTTAAGTCTTCGCTCTTCTGTTCGAGCTATAATGATAACGTGGTAAATGTCACGTATTTTTGACTGAGCCATCATTGCTGATGTGGCGTAGTCTGTTAACTATTTGACCAAGCTATGTGGGCCGTGTGGGCTAACATATTTCGAACACCTACAACTTCTTATAAGATTTGACGCATGTACTTAACGACATTACATTTTCTTTCCAGCAGGCTTGTTAACCAAATTTTATAAGACGACAATTTTATCATTCCCTTGTATAAAATGCAATATAATATAAAAACAACAAATTGTATAATTATTATAAACTTCGAGAGAGATTTTGTACCATAAATGGTGAAACATAGAAGATGAAGGATAATTATGATATTAAAAAAATTGTAAGAACAAAACATTATATTTAGGGACTCTTTAGAATTTTTATTTTAGAGAAAAAGAATAGTGGAGCGCTTTGAATACTTTGTTGGAGCGCAACCTAATGCTCCGTTTGGTAAGAAGGAAGGAAGAGGGATAAAGGGAAGATAAAAAATAAATAATAAAAAAATAAATAAAAAAAATTCATTCGTTTGGTAGAGAGAAGAGAAAACAAGATGGATGGCTTCTTCATTCACAAATTTTGATCCTTCACAAATATGGACGGAAGACACGAAGGAAGAAATATGAGGCTATTATAAATGTTTTTGAATTACAAAACTTTCCTTATAATCATCAATTTCTCTTTTCTTCTATCTTAACAAACAAAATAAAGTATAATATTATTCTCTTCTCTTCTATCTAACCAAACAAAACGAAAGAATGACATAATATCTTCCCTAAGAATATTTCATTCATATCTTCTTTTTTCCCTTTCATTCATTTTTTTTCCATCCTACCAAAAGAAGCATAAATGTTATCAAATACTAGCAGTAAGCGAGAAGCTATTTGGTACCCGGGAGTAACGGCTACGAAATGCCCCCAGCCAATCACAACATTCCATTTCCTATTATTAAGGTAAATGGAAGATTGTGATTGGTTAGGGGTATTTAACAACTGCTACCCGCTTGGGTAGTGTATAATTTTCCGTGGTAAGCAACCAAGAGTCAAAAATCAGTTGTATCAAGTAAATTCATGCGGTTGCATTGCTAGGCCCCATCCATTAATAGAGTTCCACTTAATGGGTTTTTTCCTGGGCTCAAGCTCAACCACATGTTTCTCCATAGACCCTTCTCTTTATGAAACTAATCAGTGACAAAACTTTTCTCATTCCTTGGAAATTTTGAAGCATACCTAACAAGACACACTGTTTTTTTACATGTAAATACATTCTTTGAGCACCCTAATTCAGCCTGGAAGTCACCTCGATAAGACGGTTGCTGATACCGGATTCTCAAATTTGATGGTACCCTTTAGAAACCACACTGCAAAAACATTGGAAACAGAGAGAGTGAGGATTCTTATGTCATGGCAGTTGAAATGTAATTCAATTAAGCACATCTCCAGTTAACTGCATCAATATGATATATACATTTTCATGTCTATCAAACAAAACTAGATTATGATAAGTGATGAATCAATTCGATGCTGGAGAAAAGACCTGATGCGTTAAAAGCACTCTTTGTGCATTGGTGCTAAAGGGCTACTCTAGTGCACGAAGCGAGAGGCTAGTCTAGTACATGAAGCTCCCGCCATTGCGGGGTCTGGGGAGGGCCAGATTTAAGCAGCCTTACCAACCTTTGCACGAGGAGAAATTGTTTCCGGTTTCAACCCCGTGACCTACAGGTCACAATGGAACAACTTTACCATTACGCCAAGGCCCACTTCACATATTAATCTCCATACAACTCTAGCTATGATGAATTAAGTTCATCACTGAACATGTAGAACGGGATCTATATATATTGTTGTGACATGATCTTTTGTTACACAATCACTTGTGCAGAGAAAATATCGGTCATATGTGTCTCTTGCACAAGGTGAGTCCTTTCACATAGCATGTATTTTCACTTAGATACCTATCTATACCCTTTTTTTAAAATAAAAATATATAAATATATATATATATATATTGGCAAGAAATACACCCACTTTTGCCCCTATGAAGACCCTCGATCTTCTACTTTTGAAGGTGAGGAAGTACCACTGGGCTATAAGGCACTTGGTACTGTGTTTTTTCTTATCCATTTCCTTTTTCTTTTCACACTTTATTTCCCTTTTTTCCCCCTTCTTTGAAATGCTAAGCTATCATCTTGTGAACAAATCTTAAATCCAAAGAACATGACAAACTTTATAACCAATATATCCACACTGAACATATATCCAGCTTTCTAACCAAATATGAAAAATAAAATAAACTGTTCAACTTGAAACTCATATCTTAGACCTACTCTTGATTGTGCTAGCTATCAATGTATCATCACGAGATCGATGTTTTGTGGTCATTGACGTGGCTGTTCTTGCTTTCTTTTCTTTTCTTTTAGGAAATGTGTGATAACATTTATAGACAGGTTTTATAGTATAATCACAAGCAGTGGCAGCTGGACATGCAATGAAAATCATGATTGAGAAAAAAAAAAATTATGTGAAAAGGATTAATCTGAACAAGGAATGAAATAATTAAAAATGACTTTAAAACCAATAAATTAGAGAAGACATGGTATATAATAAAATAGAATGGAGAGAGAGAATCCATGTGGCCGACCCCATTAATTTGGGAAAAAGGCAAGGATGATGATGATCGTGTTTGTAGCAAAAATCAAGTACTAGATTTTGTCTCAACAGATTTGTAGAGAGCATTTTCATTCCATAGTCAATATGAAAAATACACATGAACCAACAAAAGGAATATATATTATATACACACACAAGCACATACATAGAGAGAGAATAGAGACATCATAGTTCTGATCATGACAATACACAAGTAAACTACAGCTTAAGCAGATCCAGGATTTCAAAGGCATTTACCTAAAATATTGCCGATAAAAGGGAACAGCCAGAATCACCTAATGGGATGATAGTGATCGGACACACGTCTTGGTGGCAGCTTTCGGAGGATGAAGAGCACCAACGCAGACGGAAAAACCTCCACTATCTGAACAAAGAGAACACAAGATAAAAAAAAATAAACAGCTCCTGAAAGGCCAAGAAATAGCTCTCCTCAGTTTACTTTTAGTTAATTTAGCTCATTATTTTTTCCTGGGTAGGTAATAGCAGGGGTTTTAAATGTATATCGAATGTAGTGTTTGCATATTTGGGTGTGATATTTCCTCCAATTCTTCCACCATAAGGAGACACATGCAGCCATAGGTGCTGGCGCGACTATCAATGGTTTAAGATTATACTCTCAGGCAAACGTTTTCTGTTATAGTAAACAAGTACAAGCCTAAATAATGTGGATCATTGTGTTCCAAATTTGCAATGAAGCGGGGGATACCATGCCCCCTGGTTATGCATGCACAAGGAATCCCAATGATGATGTAGGATTGCTCACCATCTCACAATATGAGTTCCATCAATTCGTCTTTCGGCAACGCTTTATGCTCACACGTCATAACAATCCGGTCATCTATTTTGTTCTTTAGGGTGTTCAAAACTTTTTAGTATTTGAAAAAAGTCCCGAGATCATATTCTTAGATCACAGTGAAAATATTCCATGTAATGAGATTGCGAGAACTTCGTGGGTATAGCTACTTGGTTAGGTCATACCCACCATCTCAGCCATTAGCATAGTAAAGGGATAGAGGCCAACCATAACACAATATTCCGTCCACACATTACATACATAAGATAACACTGTAGAGAGCCAAACATACCAGGTAATAGACAAAATCTAGGATGGGATGGTCCAGGACATCAACATTGGCATTCTCATTAAAGGCAGAGAGAGCGACCTACAACAGGAACCAATAGAGTTGTTTCAGTCACACATACAGAGCTTTGATTTACATGGAGCACATGCTACAGAACACAAAAACTCACCATAAAGCATCTTATCAAGAAACAAGTGCAGCAAACTCCTGTTACAGAGCCAACCTGACGGGGAAACAAACTAAACATTAAAAGTTTTAAGCAATACAGAAACAAAATATACAGTTAGAAAACCACAGTGCATATTCTACTTATAATCCTTTTTTTTTTCCTTCTCTTTTTGCCCTTTTCGTTTTGATAATTGTTTCCAACATGATGTGGTAGCTTTCTGTTCTTTTACTGTACGCTGTTATCGCATTTTTAGAAATACCAACAATTCAACATCTAAAACCGTGGTTCAGATTCTCCCATGACATGATTTTATTTTTCATTTTCTTTTTTGCATTTGTTTTTCCAGTACTGATATTCAACAATAATGGAATCAGAAACTTAATCTAATGGGGCGTGATTCACCAAAAGGACAATCGTAAAACCACATACGTAAATCCACAACTTAATGCAACTACTTCACCTGCATCTATGAGAAATAATTTTAATTTGTGTTACTTAGAAATAAATGATTATAAACTGAGACGAGTTTAAGAATTTTAATACATTTTGTGTTCGACGCTCAAAAACTCTAATTCTGATGAAGATGAATAGATTTTTAAAACTCTATGTGCCCCACTAAGTCTCAGTTGGTTCCATTCTTAATCTTCAATGTGTCGGAGTAGTGTTCCTTTCCATGCATGATTTTGCATTTTATAGGAAGCATCTTCTAAATTGGGATGCTTTGGGAAAGCCTATACAATTTTATTCTTTTTGTTTTTTCAGAGACAAAGTCAGGTAATGGGTCGAAGTAGACAGCCATTTCAGTTAGATAACGGTCTAAAATAATCAGGGTACGTGTGTAGGCAAGTGCAAAAGAGTGGGCAACCAATGGCCACATCGATAATAAGGAGACAAGAACAAGAACCATCCGGTTATGGGATAAAGGTATGGGTATGGAATTATGGAATTGATGGACACCCATCACATAACTGAGGGTAGCTTGAGAAACCATATACGATCACTAGTCTCTTGCCTCCTCTTTATGAGTTTGTGTTATTAGATATGTTCATTTTGGGAGGCAGAATTTTGTAGCCCACCTCTGTAGTCCCTTACTTATATGTCAAATTTGAATCACTAAATGGTCTATCTCAATATTAGTCAAATTGAACATAACATGTAGTCTAAAGCTAATATGCGAACCCAGATGATTATTTACGGAGTTAAGTTATTATGAATTCTCATCCATCCCCCTGCCCAAAAAATAAATAGAAAATTAAAATTAAATAAATAGAAAAATAAAGAAATGTCATAAATTCAACAAAAATGTATAGGAAGAGAGAGCCACAAGAAAGACCTAATCACAAAAGATAAAAATAGCAAGCAAGAGAGATATATGTGTAAAGGAGGAATAGAGTAAAACTCTTTATTCACTTTCTTTCAAGAGATACCAATCACATAACACACTATCACACACACACACACACACACACAAAATTTTCACTGCCTCATTGCCTTCACCTCATACAAGACACACACTAGCCCGCCATTCTCATTCACTTTTGTAGTGCATTAAATGGGGTGGACCCCACTTTTACAACATTCCCCCACTACATTAAGAGTATGCCTCATAAAAACCTTGCTAGGAAATTTACAGTGGGACAAAAACCTAGCGAAGGACACTACTTCAAGAGTATGACTCGTTAAAAACTTGCTAGGAATAACCTAGTGGGAGCATTGAAAAAGTGAGGTCCACCCTATTTAATGCACTGCAAAAGGGAAATGAAATGTGAAGTGTATAGTATGTGAAGCAGTAAGTGTTGCAGCACCGAAATCATAAGATGGTAAATGCAAGGCAGTGATAACTGTGTATAAATGTGTGCAGGGTTAAACATTGGAATGAACGGAAAGTGAGAATAAGATTTATTCTCTCTCTTACACTTGCCCACTATATTCCTTTGGCCCACTCATCTCTCTAAATTTTTTCATTTATAACCAGAGAAAAAAGGGGGTCATTAGTTTGGACTAGTGGAAAAAAAACATGAACAAACATCAAAATGTAACTATTTCAGAGGGATTTACAGGAAAATATTCGATATGAATTACTCCTACAAGTTGATGTTTTGAAACTATTTTCTTGTGTATACTACAATCCGAAAAACAGTTGGAAAAATACAGAACAACATTTTAGGACCTAGAGACAGAGAGATGCATAAAACAACATTTGAATTGAGTGTCTTCACCAATCTGTAACCGAGCTACAATTATAAAATTTTATATACAAAAGCAACAATGAAGCCAATATAGTGAAGAGATGTTCTTTCGAAAATCTGCAGAAAACAGTAAAATAGATATTCCCAAATAACTTGAGTTATATTCAAGTTTGTGGCATTGAGTGCCAGGTTTTGTTCTTCAGATTTGTTAGAGAACTGGTATATAGCGTCCCTAGATACATCATAATCTCAAACAGGCAACCGAGGAACAAACCTCATGCAGCTTCTTTTGTCGACCTCTAGATTCAATAGGGAAATGTCGTAGCATGATAAATAACCTAAAGGCAAAAGCAACACCATGCCACAAAAAGTGAACACATTTTGTAGCATAAGAAAGAGATGTTAAATTGTGTCTTGGGTGGAGCAAAGCCATTACCTTCCACCATATATCAAGAATCCAAGAGCAGCACAGAATGAAATAACTGCAGAAAAGAAAAATTAGTTCTGTTATTACCACAACTCCCTGAAAACAATTATATTTCCCAGCAAATCATTTATTTTTTGTTTCATTCAAGCATCATTCAAAGTCATGATATTTATAGACTAAAACAAATTAAAATTCTAATAATGTTAACCTGAGAAGAAAAGTTTAGAAATTTCAACTGCGGCAGGACTTTGGCTGAGTCTTACATAAATCCAGATACACACCTACCAACATAAAAAAGTTTTAAAACAATTGCTACATGGTTAAAAAGTAACTAACATAATAAGATAGTGTTTTTTCTTTCTTTCTTTCTTTCTTTCCCCCACCCTAATGGCAAGAGAAAACTGACAAGGACTTGGATTGTTTTCCATACCTGTATGAAGTACACGAGTACATTGACACCAAAGTATGCAGGTCTAAGTTTGTCAATGGGAAGGCTCCTTGCCTGAAGAAAAATATAAAAGGAAACTTATTAATTTTCACTTTAAGATGGTAATTACTCGTATTGTAAGTTAAAAAAAAAATTGTAAGAATAAGGTAGAAGTACCTGATAGTATATCTCAGCCCAAAACAAAACAAGTAGTGTATACGTTGAAAAGAATAGAAGACCAGGAAGATCCAGAAGTATCATTTCAAGTGTCTGTACCATAATAACAATGTTAAACACCACAGTTAACAAAAATAGGGGGTTAAACACCAGACACAGAAACTTAAAAATGAAGATCTGCTTCTAGTTTTGATAATAAAATGCACAAAGAAGAAAGGAAAACCCGAACTCATGACAAGAGCCACAATTACAGCACAACTCATTATAGCAGAACTCATGACACAAAACACAGAAACTTATAAACGAATATTTGCTTTTCCAATGAACATAGTGATACTATCAAAGCAAAATAAATGAAACGAAAAAAAAAAATCCCAAATTTGTAAAAGAAATAATTAACCTACAAGTTTTTCATTAAAATTTTGGCTTGCATGCAAATAGAAGTTATCGCTACTGCTCTCTCAACCATTTTTTCAATAAGAATCTAAATTCTTGAAGCTGATTTTTTAGGGGCGGCAAGATACACAATCGATCTAGAAACTAGCAGAAAATATGAATATACCTTATGCTGCTGCATACATAAATAATTTGTCACAGCTCCCTTCATATAGGTTTCTCACCCAAGTTTGAAAGGGTAGTAAGAAAATACATTACATAATAACAGTACATGCATACGGGTTTATTCCTTTTTGGCTTGACAAAGAGAAAACAGCTGAATATCAAAATATATTTTCTTGCAGCTATAATATGCCAATATTTTCTTATACTGCAGTAGTCATATCACCTTCTTCTGAGCTACCTTCTGTCTGCTCGCACAGTCTTTTCTCTTAATCAAATGAGAAATTCTCCCATCACATTGTTTGTGAGTGTTATCAACTCACTCTTGTAACTGCTTAAGCTATTAGAGACAGTGTAACAATATATTCTAACACTCCCCCTCACTTCCCTCGAATGAACAGTTACCTACGTGGACAACTTATATACAATCAGAGAAGTGATAGGATTTTTTTTTTTTTTTTCATAATTCAAGTGCTGGGATTTTAATAATGATTGTTTGTGACCCATGCTAGGGCTCCTGAGAATTGAAAAGGTTGAAAGTGAATAACACGGAATGGAGCAAGAGAAATAGATAGAGAATGGAGAAAAATAATTCTTCCAAGAGGGAGGGTGCTTGGGGGACTCAATTCAAAGAGGGAGGGTGCTGGGGGACTTCCTAGCCTCTTGATAACAAGTGAAAAGAACTAAGGAACAAATAAAAAATGTGTGTGTTTGTGTGTGAGAGTGAGAGTCAGAGTGGCTCTTCAATACTAATTCGTGTTGCATTCCCTTAGCCCACTAAAAGAGGGACTAGGACCTCTCTACTCTGTTCTCTGTTTTTCGTTGGTGATCCAAAGCATTGTGCCATGTCATCAATAAAATATGAAGATTAATTGTTATCTGTGAATACAAATCCTCTCCAGTTCAAGGTCACTATCTGCTGGACGCACTAGTTGAAAGCAGAGGCCAGTGGAGAGGATCCATTTCCCAGAAGAGATATTTGGGGAGTTCAAAAGCCTTACAATGTTTTTGAATAACTAGGAAGGAAAAGAAACTTGTTATCTCTAGGAAAGAAAGCAAAAGAGAGAATATCATTAATCTATTCTGATGTTCAGATAACTAAGGAGACAGAAAGAAGAATGAATAATCATCATGATTGGAAAAGATTGGGGAAAAAAGAAGCAAAGCACGGTTTTATTTTGTGAATGGTAAGAGCAAAATCGAAATTTACTACTTGTAAGTACAGAGTCAGAACTTGTAATCACTAACTCTCCCATTGATTCTGTCCAATTTCTCATAATTTTGAAGATCAGAGAAAACACTGTTTAAGGTATCCTTCCTTTTACCCCCTTCCCTTCCTTTTCCTTCCTCATTTTTAATCAAACAAGATTTAAGTTGTTCCTCGTTTTCCTTTCCTTCCGATTCCTTCAATTCAAATGCACTTGTAAACTTCTTCAAGTGACTCTTCAGTATTAATTGTTGAAATCCTGCCAGATTGATCATCACATTTGTCTTTTGATTGATAGTTAACCAACAAGAGAGGGCTTTGATTCTGTCATAGTACAGGAAACTATCAATCTGCCTCCATCATTACACCAATTATATATCCACTATCCACGATAGTAATTTGATCAACCAGCCCTTATCAACTATTCAAAAAGAAATGGTGGAAGGTTTCCAATCAACAGTATTTTCAGCTTCAGATTCTTGAATTCCTCAACAAAATGTCCATAATCCTCAAATGATTACAATGACAAATTTAGCCTTTTTCCAAAGATCAAAACAAGCCCTTATCCGACAATCAAAACTCGCTCAGATACTAAATTTGATATAATTGATAATGCAGTTTCTTGGTACATTTTTTGGTAAGTAGTTCTTCAATAACGTTATTCATTCTGAGTTCTCACCTTAAAGCCTTTTGTTGAGCATTTAGATGGGCTTATTTTCTAACTCTGAACATGTAAATGAAACCTAACCCGACAGATCCAGATCCTGTATTTTCTCTATCTGGTTTTCCTTAATTCTCGATCAAATGATTGAATACTCTGCGTCAGCTAATTAACTTTTGCCTTTGAAGTTATTGTTGTTTAGTAATAGGATCATTTTGAACAATTACTTTCAAAATAAGACTCTTAACAGCCATGAAACTTTACATATTGGACTACCATTACAAACTATTTAGAGAAAATAGAGCCTGAACAAAAAAAAAATAATCCTGAAAGTAAAAATTTACACTCCTACTTCTAAACCTAAAACTTTTCTCATATTAAAATTTCAAGTGTACACAACACAGGCCTATTGCAATAAATTGTTTTTGCTGTAAGGAACTTCTTGATGGATACCAAGACAACTTCTTGATCCTCTAATAGTTTCCAAAATCAAAAGAGCGAATAGCTTGAAAAACTAAAAGATTTCTAAACATCTTGTTATCCTATAACGAACATAGACCAATTCCATAAAATGGGAAAAAAAGAGGATAGAGAATATATTGACAAGTTTACCTGTCTCAAGATATCTATTCTTTTTTTTTTCTTTCTATAATACCTTGTTTTGACTGTATCACAATTTAAGGTATTAGAGGAAGGCGTAGCAATATATTTTAGCAGCAAGCAAGAACAATCAAGTTGTATTTAGTCTTGAATCACCCGCCTGATTCAGCAGTACAAAACCTAGTTATATATTCAAAAGTTTCATGTGAACCTAATTCCATTACCACATTACAAGTTCTAGAAATCAATAACCTATTTATGCATCAAACACTCTCTTAATCAGGGTATCTAACAGAGCTGAAAATGGAACTATAATCCAGGAGAAGAAAATTACTTTTGATTGGAGATGAAAGATGCTCCTGTAGCTTCCAAAGAGGATAGCCCTCACTATCAAAATGCAATTCGGTTTTAGCAGCATCAGATAAATTTGACCAAGATTTGATATGAGAAGTGTAACAAATTAAAATGCAACCCCTTACATCCATTGACAACAAAATTCATCAAGTGGAAAACCTTTTGCGTTGTCCAACCATATTCTGGTACTCTCAATTGAATGCGAACAAGTTGTACCTGGAAATTGGAAACAACTATGCCATTTTAGAAATAAGTGTAGCCATACATATTCTTTGCATGCAGTGAATAGTGACAATTATAAACTAAAGGAAAAAAAATATAAGGAGCCCCATCAGTGCAACAATGATAAAGTTACATGTTTCCTTCATATTACTACCCACAATTATTGGTAAAAATGACCGATCCAGCAAAAAATACTGCTAGGATACCTAAAAACCAAGTATTTTCTATATTCTAGTCCATCAAAGTTTTTGATAAAACAAGACTTCCTAAGTACACAAAAAAATGAAAAGGAAATGAATGTGAACAATCATGACTCTTCACACTGAATCAACCTACGTAAGGACACTTATAAATGGTATTGATGTGTTGTATCTGACATATGCATTTTGAAGGACATGTTCCTCTTCCATCAGTCTGAACCTATGTGAGCACACTGATGCAAATGTGGCTGAGATGCTTGAGACACAAACATATGGATAAGTCTACCATGGAAAATGCATAAACAAGATGCACCCTCAGAATCTATATGTAATCTTAGCAAGAAGTTTTTCCCCAAACTTAAATCTGGTGGTTTTAAATCTCCATGAGATCATGCAAAGTCAGGCAAGATACCAGCTTTGGCTTCAATTGAAATTCAATAGAGGAACAAATTGAAAATGGCAGCTTAAAATTTTGGAGTGCCAAAGTTCCATAAGGTTTTTAGCCTGAATAGAACAAAAATTTAGAAACTCATGGTCGAGACGCAGAGTTTTAAAAAAAAAAATCCATATTGCGAAGCATATCGCCCTGGATGGGAAAGAACTGTTAGCTGCATTTGTCTTCAATGACAATAAGTAGGAAAGTGGGTCTTCTTCTACCAGATTGACCACTTATACAATTGTTAGCATATATGATACCACGATTTATGGTATGACTTACCATAATAGCAGAGATTTGACTATGCATATAATAGCATATATGATATCACGATTTATGGTATGACTTACCATAATAGCAGAGATTTGACTATGCTATAGAATGTGCCATAGAATATGCTTTAGAAGAAGTTGTGATTTGATTTTGATTTGATTTAGTTTCCTGTCTTGTAATATGAGCATGTGCTCATTTTATCTATAAATACTAGAGCTGTGAATGAGTAATTTATATCATTCAAACCTTTACGCAATTTTCTCCTTTCTCTTCTTTTTATAAATTTCTACTTGGTATCAGAGCCAACACCTTTCCACACCTTTCAGCAGCCTTGCTACTTATGCGACTACTACCTTAGGTTGTTTGTGACATCGTGTGATGTTGCCTACACATGTTTTTCTGTGTTACTGTTTTGTGATCGAAAACAGGTATTTTTAAGTTTTACAATTTCTTTTTCATTTTTCTAGGGTTGGATAAATTGGGATAATTGGTTTCCAACACCTAGAAGGACTTGGGTATAAATAAAAAAATAGTCCACAAAGAGGTTCCGGATATTAAGAAGGAGGCTGTCTGACTATATGTAAGCCGGCAGCGCTCCTTAAAAAAGATATGTATTTGGATTTTTCGGGAATAGTCTGAGGAGACATTGTTATTGTTTATGGTCTGAGGAGACCCTTTGATTTATTAACAGAATTTGTGGTGTTTATGGAGTTTTTTATTATCGTATGACAGATTATGGCAGATTCAGGGTCCTCGACTGTTAATTCTCTTAGCTCACGTTCTGTGGGTGGTGGTGTCATTTTTCCCACCAACTCATCAGAAAATCCAGGACTTCAAATCACCATAGTGAAGTTGGATGGTTCCAACTATTTGATTTGGGCACAGTCTGCCAAGATGTTCATTGGTGGCAAAGGCAAGATTGGTTATATTACTAGTTCTGAGAAAGAGCCAGCTGAGTTAGAGAAGGGGTTTGCAGATAACGATATGGTTATGTCTTGGTTAGTCAATTCGATGCAACCAAACATAGTTGTTGGCTATATGTTTATGAAGACTGCTAAGCAGATTTGGGATTCAATTCAACGCACTTATTCTCAGAGACAGAATAAGGCACGAATTTTCCAGCTGGGGCGAGATATCACCAGGATTTCTCAGGGTGACTTGACAGTTTCAGGTTACATCGCCAAGCTCCGTGCTATTTGGGAGGAGATGTCATATTATGATTCCTTCCACTCTTGAAGGATTCAGATGATGCAGTTTTATATGCAAGAATTATGGAGAGGAATCGAGTGTTTCAGTTTCTTGCCGGGTTGAACGACGAGTTTGAGTATGCTCGTGTTCATTTATTGGGCTTATCTTCATTCCCTACTCTTGAGGATGCATACTTCTATGTGTTGTCAGATGAGAGCCGCCGGACTCATCCATTAGGTGTTGCTTCTATTGATCGTTCTGCTATGCAAGTTCGGGTTGCCAACCTTTCAGGAACTTCACCATCCCAGTCAGTTCAAAGCATTACCACTAGTCCTCATCTGGGACGACAACGTGGACGGTGTGACCATTGCGGAAAAATTGGTCACGTCAAATCTCGTTGTTATGCTCTACATGGATGTCCACCTCAACAGAAACAACAGCCTCGATCCTCTACACATTCTGTTACACAACTAGTCTCGTTGTCAACTCCTGACAACCCTGCCTCTACATCTTCTGCCACAGTTACCTTGACTCAAGCTGATTTGGACAAGTTCAAGCTATTCTTCAACCAAATGAAGGCATCATCGCAGCCAACCTCCACTTATGCCCACTCAAGTACTATTGCGTCTGCACATAGCGTATCTACATCTTCAACACCATGGATCATTGATTCTGGTGCTTCAGATAATATGACTGGTATGTCCTCACTCTTCCAATCTTATAGTATCTGCTCTGGCCAACGCAAGGTCCGCCTTGCGGATAGCTCTCCATCTTCCATTGCTGGGAAGGGTCACATATCAGTTACTCCTTCATTAACTTTGTCAAATACACTTCATATTCCAAAGTTGACTATAAATATTATTTTTTTTAGTAGCGTTACCAAACAATTAAATTGTAATGTAACATTTTTTCCCTCTCATTGTATTTTTCAGGATCTGGTGTCGAAACGGACGATTGGCAATGGGCGTGAAATGGACGGTTTATACCTGTTGGATGCTCCTTTGTCACCTCAAGCACATTCAGCTTCATTTTCTAATATTGTTTCATCTAATAAAGCCCAGCTTATGCGTTGGCACATGCGTTTAGGACATATTTCTTTTGGTTATTTGAAACATTTATTTCCTTCCTTATTTTGTAACGTAGCAGTGTCAGATTTATCCTGTGAAACATATCATATGGCTAAACATGTTTGTTCCAATTATCCTGCTAGTAGTAATAAATCTGCTTTAACACCTTTTGATCTTGTTCATTTAGATGTGTGGGGTCCTTGCCCAGTTACTTCTAGTCTTAGATTTCGATATTTCGTGTTGTTCATTGATGATCATAGTCGTGTTACTTGGGTTTATCTTATGAAAACCAAAAATGAGGTATACACCATTTTTAAAAATTTTATGACAATGGTTCAGACTCAATATGGTCGTACCATTAAAAAATTCCGATCTGACCAGGGTACAGAGTACACTTATGGGGAGGTACAACGGTTATGTACAGAATTTAGGATTGAGCATCATATGGCTAATGTTAAAACTCCTCAACAAAATGGTCGTTCTTAGAGAAAGAATCGCCACATCCTTGACTTAGCCAGAGCAATCTGCTTCTTACCGCTGTTTACATCATTAATAGGACTCCTTCTAGGATTCTTAACTTTGCAACCCCACTCTCAATCTAACATCCCAATTCATCTCTTTTTTTGATTCCTCTACGAGTCTTCGAGTGTGTGTGCTTTGTTCAGCAGTTGGGGCAAACTCGTACAAAGGTTGACCCCAAGGCTTTGAAGTGTGTGTTTTTGGGCTATTCTCACTTTCAAAAAGGTTATAGGTGTTACCATCCTCCCAGTCGTCGGCGTTTTATATCCATGGATGTTTCTTTCTTTGAGCATACACCATACTATAGTGGTTCAGTTGATTCTCAGAGTGAATGGTGCCCATTAAATATAATAGATGATCACCTTCTTCCATCTTCAACTCCTCTACCATTACCTGTTTCTTCTTCTATGATTCCTCCTCGTGATACCCGTCCAGCAGGGGGAATTGTTCCTTTTTCACAGGTTTATAGTCGAAGACAACATGTACAAGCTTCTACTCCCACGATCGACTACCCTGTTCCTTCGGCACCAGCTCCGCCTTCTCAAGCTATTGTTTCGCTTGATGATCGCCCCATTGCTCTTCGAAAGGGTAAACGTTCTTGTACTTACCCTATTTCTAATTTTGTTTCTGATTATACTCTCTCACCCTCCTATCTGAGTTTTCTTGTTTCTGTTGCCTCGGTTCCTGTTCCTTCTAGTGTTGCAGATGCACAAGCCTCAATAGCATGATGCTATGACAGAAGAACTACAAGCACTTGAGAAAAATCAGACTTGGGACATGGTTCCGCTTCCTATTGGACGAAAGGTTGTGGGTTGTCATTGGATATTTACAGTTAAGCATAATCCAGATGGGTCAGTTGCTCGTTACAAGGCCCGATTGGTTGCCAAGGGTTATGCTCAAACTTATGGCATAGATTATCAGGAGACTTTTGCCCCTGTTACCAAGATGAATACCATCCGTGTATTATTTTCGATTGCTGCAATTCGATCTTGGCCTCTATTTCAGTTAGATGTCAAGAATGCCTTTCTCAATGGTGATTTGTAGGAGGAGGTGTACATGGTTCCTCCTCTGGGCTTTCGTTCTCCTGCTCATTCTGGTATGGTATGTCGTCTTCGTCGTTCTCTGTATGGCCTCAAGCAGTCTCCTCGAGCTTGGTCTGATCGCTTTGGCACTGCTATGCTCAAGTTTGGTTTCCATCAAAGTGCAGCTGATCATACCTTGTTTTTACGTCATTCAGGCGGTAAGACAGTTGCTCTCATTGTGTATGTCGATGATATTGTTCTTATCGGCGATGATACTACCGGAATTAAT